AAAAACAGAAATTCCATTTCTAGACAACCTTCATGAAATAAACACGTATAACTACCTGAAAGTCACAAGATGGTTACAAATCATTTAACTTTGCTGTGCATCCTCCTAAAATCGAATTTGTGAGCATGCTTCACTTAATTTGCCATTGCTCTCTGGTTAGTGGCAGTCCAAATTTTTCTAAATTTAGGAGATTTTTCAAGCCATCCTGTCCTCTGTGCAGCTATTGACTATGCTCTCATTTTAACACGCTCTTCCTTTGGCTTCTACTTTTTTCCCACCTGTCCGACCCTCCCTGGGGTCCAGTGGAAGGCTATTCGCCTTGGCCTGGCCCGTACACAGGGTGCCTCCAAGGGGCTGGGGCCGTGGCCTCCCGCCTTCCCGTTGCCCATGCCGGCTACGGGGTGGTCATCAGTCATCATCCTGGCATTCATACCCCTCCGCACTGCCCCTCCTGAGCTCCTCAGGCCAGCGTCCTAGGTGCCTCCCGTGGGCATCTCAGAAGTGCTGCAGCGTGACCCCGGAGAGTGCGGCTCCACCCCCACAGAGCTCTGTGGCCGCCAGGGTCCCACTGGCATCCAGTCCTGCCAGCAGAAACCACGTCATCCTTGGCACTGTCTGCTCTCTGCCACCTCACATGAGTCTGTCACTGGCCAGTCGCTTTCTCCCTAAAGTGTCTCTGTCCGCCTACTGCCTGTCACTTCTCACAGGGGCCTCTGCGGTTGCCGCCTCGCGGCCCTGAACATCCCCTGCTCCTAGTCAGCCACACTTCCCACAGCCTCCCCTGAGCCCTGGTGCATGTCCGGTCTGCCCGTCAGGCTCTGTCCTATAAGACAGCTCCCTCCAGGAGAGCCAAGGTCCAACACAGGAATTGGCCCAGCTTGAGGACTCGCTGATGGGGGAATGAACCCTCAAGTGAACAGCCCATCCCCAGGCCCTCTGCCCTGTGGGCTCCGCTGCAGACCCAGGGAGTCACCCTGGGGCTTTAGCAGCCAGGCTCCTTCTCTCCCAGGTGAAGGTCTCCTTTCCCAGCATTGGAAGAACACGGCTGTATGCACTGTTCTCTGCAGGCCTGCAGAAGAGAGATCACATGGGGCGGCCCTGCACTCCTGCCTGAGAGGCACACTGTGCCTCGTCACACTTGGTTTCCGACCAGCGTGTTTTTGAATGAATGCTTAGCAGTTGGATTCTGAAATAGCTTGTTATCTGAGTCCCTTATCCAAACGTAGACAGTGAAGGAAAGAGACCATGCGCCACACCACATGGGGTTGCTTCATGTTTAACACAAAAGGCCCATCAAGTGGTTTCCAAGTTACGTAAGTATGTTGAGGGTCAGTTAATTGTGGCCAGGAGCAGGGACTGTGGTGAGTGTAGAGCAGCCAGGGACATTCTCGGTAATTTTCTGGCCTGTTGGTGTTGGGTGGGATTGGTGCCGTCTACTACAAAGGGTTTTTCTATCTCCTCTACAATAAGTACTAAGTAAACAGGACCATAAAAATCCCTTATGTATGCAGAACACCTCATGGTTTTAAAGTGTGTTGTTAACTCATCATCACCTGTGGGCTGGGGTTTGTATGTCCACTTTACAGGAGAGAAGCTGCTGGCGAGGGGCCAGTGCCCATTGTCAAGCCTGGCTCAGACCCCCACCCAAAAGCTTTATGTTGGTGGGATTTCATTGTTTTTATCCAAGGCGCAAAAACTTCAGCCTTTTTCCTCAATTGGCAAGAAAATTCATGATCAGCACTGCTTACCTGGGCTTCGCGGGCAGGTAAGGTGATCGCGTGTTACAGGGACTGGGAACTGACATGCAGAATTACCTGCGTGAGCCTGTTGCCACTTTCCGCAGAAAGCAGCAAGGGGAAGTTCAGCCCCAGACCTCATTCAGGCCCTTCTGCGGGGTCCAGGCAGGGAGCAGAGGGAGGGAGGAGATGGCAAGATGGAGTCTAGCTGCTGCCTGTGAATGCATCTGCCCATTTCTGTCACCGGGGAAACCTGGTCAGGGCCCTCGGGTCTTCCACCCATTGCCGCTCTTCCCCAGAAGCCAGTAGCCCACTGGTCCTGGTTCCGCACAGCTGCTGGGCTGTGGCTCTGCATGTGTCTGGAGTGCCTGGGTGGTGGGGGTGCCAGCCGGGGCCTCATTGGGCCCTGGGCCTGGCTTTGGGACACTGATTGCAGAGGGAGCTGGCTCCTGCAGGAACAGCCACTTCTCTGGGGATTTGGTAGTTTTGTACCTTTCTGTGCAATTAATTCTGTTGATCCTGTCATTGTATTACGGCTGTGACAGCTGTGAAATTAAGAGGAGAAAGAGAAGCCAGGGGAACTTTCCCATCTGGATTTTCTAGTACTGTGCTTTCAGCCTCAAGAGAACCAGCTTCACTGTATATGTACTTTTCTATATTCTGTCTTATTTTGTAGTAGTTTGATTTTTTAGGCCTGATCTTTAGAAACAATTTGGTGGTGGTATGGAGAGCAGGGGGTGCAGGCTGGGTGCCAGCATGGTGGCAGTCTCTTCTGGGGCCTGCTCTCAGACCCCACAGGCTTTTCCCCACCATAGGGTTTTGAAGCACCCCTATTTCAAGGCCAAGTGCTGGTTCCCCTAGGGCCTCCGGATGCGGGGGATGGGGCGAGGGGGACACTCCGGTCTCATTGGGTTTGGGGCTCCCCGGCCTCATGTCCGCCCCTGGCCTGCTCCCCTTGGCTGGGAGGGAGGGAGGGAGGTGAGGCTGCCTGCCACCTGCCTCTGTTTGGGCTTCTGTTTTTGGGATTTGGAAGTTGGTTGTCAGGTACTTAGAAGTTAACTCGCTCCGACCTGGATCTTGAGGAGCTGTTGTTCTTGTTCACAGCACTTCGGCATGTTTGTAATTGAAGTCGCTGCTCTGAGTGGAGCTTCCAGGTTTGCGGTTGGGTTTGTCCTGAGGAAGCTGGGGGAAGGCTGGGGACCCACAGCTGGGAGCCGGGGCGCAGCGTTTCCTCTGGTGCAGGAGCCTCTGCTTCGAGGTGCAGTGAGGCCAAGCACGTAGGCGCTTCTGCCAGACGCCCGCCTTTCAGGGAGCTGGAGAGGGGGGCCGCAGCGGCAGGAAGTGGAGATTTGTTTTCCTTGAGACATGAACGTGACCTCTGGGGGCCAGGGTCAGAGTCCTCGGCAGCATATGCTTCCACTGGCCTTGCACAGAGCTTGGGCATGTCACTGAGAGCTTCCTGGCCTGTGTCTCTGTGATGATGCCCAGTGCCTGTGGCTCTTCTGTGAGGGCACTCAGTCACAGGCCCGGTCGGGTCCCTAGGAGGGTGGACGGCCTTGGGGCTCAGACCTGAGTGTGAGTCATTACACAGACCGCCCCTGTGACCTGGGCCTCTCAAGCTCCGCTTCCTTGTTTAAAAATGCACCAGGTTTCACCATGTAAGAACTTGTTCATTATGCTTCAGAAGATTGGAGACTGACGAGAATTAGGCTTGAGATGGATTAATGATTGTACATTGAGCATTGACCCCCCTATACTGAATTTTATTGTTGTTAACAACCATTTGATCAATAAATATGAGAGATGCCCTCTCAAAAAAAAAAAAAATGCACCAGGTGATAGAGAATTTAAATGATGTATCGCTTAAGGATGTTTGGGACAAGGGTAGCAGTCCCTGTTCCCTGCTGCCAGCCCAGCACCTTGGACAGGTCACTCCCTTCCCTGGACCTCCACTCCTCCCAGATGGAGCTTCCACTTCCAGAGCTCAGATGAGAGGCAGTCCTCAGCTGCAGCTGTCAGGCCCCTGCCGCAGGGGCCTGAAGAGGTGGTGACTCTTCATGTTACCAGAGCAGAGGCCCCACAAGGGCAGCCCCAGCCCCGCGGGGATGAAGCAGGGTGTGCATCCCCACTGTCTTCATGGCCCAGGAGTGTCTGCCTGCTCTAGGCTTTTGGGGAGGGCTGATGTCACTGCATGGCTGGCAGGGGTACTCGTACATGGCTGAGTCAGGTGATGGCACGACAAGCTTCCCTCAACCTTTACCTGTGACTCTTGGCAGGTCTGCACCCCTCTGCGCCTTAATCTGGTAACTCCCCCCACTATAGAGCATGAGCATGCCTCTAGGCCAGAGCAGTGAGACTGGCACCGTCAGCGGTCTGCTCATTGAAGGAAGTGGCCTCTGGGACAGCTGCCCTCGGGAGGCTTGTGTTTGAGCAGAGCTCCCAGGGGCGGCACTATGGGCACTTGCAGTCAGGGCTAGACCATTGGTTTTGATGGCAAAACTTACGAAGAGCTGGGCCTTGTGCCCCCACATTCCTGATGCTTTTGTCAGGAGACTGGCCAAGACCCATGAGGCTAGACAGTCTCCCCAAAGGGTCCCATCTCCCACCTGCCCATTGCCCATGATCCTCACGCCCCCTGCTTGGTTCAGGACTCAACAGTTTGTAAAGGGGTGTCAGGGACAGCCAGCCCCTTACAGCTCTGTGCGCTTGTGAGCAGTAATAGTGTTCTGTGGCCATTTGCTGCTGGGAGAAATGAGAGCTTGTCACCCAGAGCTGGTGGTGTACCTTCAGTAGTAAAATTTGGACCTACTCAGTCACCTATGAAGCTAACTTTCGATACAGTGAAGGCTGCATGAAATACACAGTGAGACATAAAGTAAGTGTTTGGGAAGTGCTTTCTTTTTCAGTTTGTAGCATTTATGGAAGTGCATAAATTTCCAAAATTTAATTGTGGACTTTCATCTTCAAAAGGATTCTTGCAAATATGGGTAAAGGCTACGTACTAGCTGAATTGCATCATATAATAAAACATTCTGAATGACATGTTACTTTCGTAGTTACAAGAATTTCGTTTGCACGTGGATAAGGTACCTCTCAAAGGAAGTCCCCGTTGTTCTTGGAGAAGCGGCCTGGGAAGTGCAGCCCCTGCATTGGTTGGCATCTGTCTCTTACGTGAGGTGGCAGCTGTTGATGTCTTCAGCACAGAGGTTTTCCTCCTTGAGAGGATCAGTGTGTGTTGCTAATGTGTTTTCTCCTTTCCTTCAGAATATCGACATCACAAACTTCAGCAGCAGCTGGAATGACGGGCTGGCCTTTTGTGCTCTCCTGCACACATACCTTCCAGCCCACATCCCATATCAAGAGCTGAATAGCCAAGATAAGGTAGGCAGCCCACAAAATGGCCTGGCTCCTGACATCCTCCTCACACGGGACAGCAGAGCCTCTGCTGGTGGGGCCACGCACCAAAGTGCTGGCTCTGCGATGGCCTTGTCCCAGCTTGGTCTCCTTCTGGGTGGCAGTTATCTGCCCTGACGCACTTTGTATGTATGGGTTGAATTGCCCAAGTGATGACATTCCCAGTGGGAGCCATCAGACTTCTTGGGTAATGACCTTTAGTTTAGGGTCAAGGGCTCCATGCAGAAGTGACCAAGGAGAGCTGCTGAAGGCACGAAATGCTGGGCCGCACCAGCCCCCAGGCCACCTCCTGCCATCTCTGGGCACAGGACTAAGCTGACAGCACCAGCTCCATGCAGCTCAGGCATCCCATTCAGGAAGCTGCTTGGGGACAGGGTCAAGGGACAGCTCCTGCTGAGATGGGCACTGGGAGAGGACCCAGGCCTTCTGGTCCCCTAGCTACCCAACCTCATCAGCCCCTCCCACCATTCAGCCAAAGGGGAGGAAACTCATTTGACAGGTGTTACCTATTAGCCTGTGGGGTCTGTGTCAGGGTAGCTCAGGGCAGATGTGTCAGAAGTGACCCTTTTCAGTAGTGAGGAAAGAGAAGACGTCTGGGAGTCACAAGGATGGAAGGGCCCTGCGAGGGGGGCGAGCCTGTGGCCCAGGCACTAGGTGAGGGCCGCAGGGTGGGTTTGTTCAGTACCATTGAAGGTGCGTGTCTGTCTCCCAGACTCAGGGTGGTACAAGTCACCTTTCTCCTGGCCTTGCTGTCCACCCCAGTCACACCGTTTCTTTTACAGCGAAGGAACTTCACCCTGGCCTTCCAGGCAGCTGAGAGCGTTGGAATCAAATCCACACTGGTGAGCCCCCTTCCCCGAGGACTACTTCAGTTAGGAAGGGCTTCCTTCTTCCTAGTGGAGACTCTGGGTGGTGGGGTGGCATCTGAGGTGGCTGCTGGGCCAGTGACCCATGGATGGTGTGCAGACAGGCAGGGAGTCCCCTGTCCCAGGGGCACCGTGCGCCTCCCAGGAAACAAGTGGGGAAGCAGCCTGGCTGGGATGGTGATTTTGGCCGCAGCAGCGACCTTGACTTCCTTAGTTACCTTCTTCTTTAACTGAAGCCTTAGGTTCAGAAGAAAAACAAGTTTATAAGTGTCACTGTTAAAGGCGTGTTCCAGCAGGTCTGTCTGCCTTTTGTCAAACTGGAGGGGGAGGGTGGGGGATTGCTGAGTCCCAGGAAGCTGGCTATAGAGGTACAAGTGGGTCTCCCTTTGCTGAAGGCCGCAGTGAACCGCTGCTCACAGCGCAAGAAGTGAGTCCCAGAAAATCCGCATTTCAGGGTCTCCCTTAGGTCTCTGCTCGGGGCCTGCAGTGGCCCCAACAGATGGGCTTCTGCTGATCTCTTGCCTCGTCCACTATCTGACTTCTTGGAAATACTGTGTCCAAATGCAAAGCCCAGTTGTTCCACACCTAGAGACGTTTTGATGAAATGAACCTTATACTTAGGGAGTACAGGAATGCACACGCATCGTCAGTACGCAGCTGGGTGTTTCCTCACAGTAAAGAACCCCAAGGGGCCAAGTCCGGGAGCCCAGGATCCCCCTTGGGGCCTCCCTGGGCCACCTCTCCACCCAGGAGTACCTGTCAGCGTGACCTCTTGTTACAGCTGGGTAGCTATTTACATTTCAAGGTGTTCACATACGGAGTTTCATGAATATACCCTCTCAATTCATAGAAATAACGCTTTTTGGGGGTGGCTTCTATTCAGTTGTATAGCTAGAAAGAGATAGTTGTTGAAACATCTTCCATTATCTGGATAGTTCACATCACATGTAAAGTTCTAATATGCAAAAAGTGGGCTGTTTCCCCACCCTAAGGAACTGTTAGTCAGGATTCTTATATTGAACAAACATTTTCTTTTTTTTCGATACCAAGTCACTAGTAGGGTGGCCTTTCCATCCTGCAGGCTCTGGTGGCCTGTTCCATGTCCCTCACCATGGAGTGGCTCCCTCAGAAAGTCGCAGGAGTTCTCAGCAACCATGATCCAGGGCCTCCAGGTCACATATCAAAGACCATATTTTCCCGTGTTTGTTTTCCTACAGCATCAGTTAACATTTCACAGGTCTTGGTGATTACAGGTGGCTGACATGGCTAAGGGCATTCGAATAGTGAGGTTTGCCCGGCACACAGGTTCTCCCAGGGTGGTGACTAGGCCAAAAGGGCTTTCAGAAGCGACTGCAGGGAAAGGCTTAGGATGAGAGGCAGGCGTGAAGCAGAGAAGATGGAACCCCTCCAGCCCTGGGGGGCCGTGGTAGGAGCAGGGGAGACCCTCGTATGGGCTCTGAGGCTGGGCTTGGGCAGGAGTGGGGAGCCGGGGGACCATGCTGATGCCCAGGGAGGAGGGGGTCCCCAAGTGTAGGAGCAGGCATCCTTGCCAGGCCTCAAAGGTGTGCATCCGGCCTAGACGAAGAGCCCTTCAAGGCCCCACCCAGTCCCAGGAGCCTGTATTGCAGTGGCCATGAGGTGACCTGGAATGCCAACCAGTCCTCTTCCTTCTCTCAGGACATTAATGAAATGGTGCGGACTGAACGGCCCGATTGGCAAAACGTGATGCTGTACGTGACAGCTATCTACAAGTACTTCGAAACCTGAGCACACCAGGAGGACCTCCCAGTTACCAGGCAACGCCAGCACCATTAGCTACGCACCCTGTAAAGCTTTCAGCGACTCTCTGGGCTGCCCCACAGCGCGTGAGCCTTCAGCCTGGCGCCTCTGGGTCGGGAGAACTTGGGCCCATGTGGCCCGCAACTCAACCCAGGCACCTTCCACATGACCCATCAGTCAGAGGTTGGCGTGGACTCCGTACCATGCACTGTGTGCCTCCAGAATTCTCCTTCTGAAGATATGTCTGAATTTCGTTAGTGTTGTGGGGTGCCAGAGGCCCGTGAACAGCTCAACTTGGAAGGGGATTAAATTATGCTGGCAGCTCATGGGGTCAGTGAAAGCTTCAGCCACAGCCTATCTGCAGTGCTCGTCAGAGCAGGTCCTGTCACCCATGAAAACCACGCAGGGGTGGCAGTGTCTGACAGGCTCCTGCTTCCCGGTGTTGGGTGTGTAGGCCTCAGCCCTTCACAGGGGCTCGGATTCAAGGAGTGGGTCCAGAGCAGTGGGACAGCCCCCTTCTCTGTGACAGGGCTGTCCTAGCCAGTGCAGATGACCAAGACTCATGTTCCCGGCTCTCAGGGTCTGCTGCTGTTGAACGATTCACGGGCTGGGCCTCCATCTAGACGCAGGCCAGGGCTCCTCCGCCGATTCTCTGCTGACCTGACCTCCAGCTTCGTGGGGCTTGGACACCCAGCTCTGACTTCAGGTTTCTAGTCAAAAGAATTGGTCATAAGGAGTTCTTCTAGTTAAAAAAATGTTTTTCTCTTAAGAGCAATATTGGGGGAAATAGCTCTTTTTCTCATAGTACCAAAGTTGAATTGTTGTAGGCGTAGATATAAAACCCCAAATGTGGACATGGTGAAAGCCGGGAGTGAGGTGAGAAGGAGAAGCTGAGCAGCTGGAAGGAGGCCGGACAGCGCAATGGAAGTCACTGCATCACTGGGATGGGAGTCCCAGGCAAGGACTGACTAAGAACGTGCCTTAACTCTCCTGACGAGGGTGCCCTGCACAGAGCGTCCTGGAGGCCCCCGGCGCCGCAGCCAAGTGAAGGAGCTGGTTACCTGCCGTGCCGCCCTCTCCAGGCCCAGTGGGCGTGAACCAGAGCCTCATCACCAGCTGTCTGTTGAGACGCCTCTCAGGCTGGGACCCGGCCCTTCTGGGGAGCAGGGAGCCCACGTCTCAGTACACCTGACACAGGAGCTGCTGGCTCAAACAGTGTCAAGACCCGTTGCTTCAGAATGCAGCTCGTCTGGACCCGCACTGCAGCGTGAGGAAGAGCTGCCCCCGGTGAGGCAGGCCGCAGGGTGGGGCTCACACAGGCCCTCTGGCCCGCGCGGGGGCTGTGGGCTGTGTATGTGCACATGATGCTCCAGACCCGGAGTCTGACACGTGAGACAGGCTGTGCACACGCGTGGGGCCATATCAGGCAGTTGGGAAATTGCCGGCAGGCATGCCCAGATGCCCTGACCCAGCAGCTCTGGCTACTACCCTAACGGGAGGCTGTTTGCGAAGTGCCCACTTCAGCTGATAAGGAGAGGCCCAGTGAGTGGAGCCCAGGCCCCACACACACCAGAAAACCCCAGCAGATCTCTGCCCCATCCTTCCCGACTGGGTTCTGTTCTGGTTTCTATTGTGTTGGCAGTGGCCCTGTGCTATCAGCTGAAGGACTGTTAGGGTGAGATTCATGTTTTTAAATATCTGTACCTGGTTTAGCTGAGTGCCATGTTTTTGTTTATTTATTATGTTGGGGCCGGTTTCGTCTTAGGAAGGAGAAGCCTCTGCTGGTCTGCATTTCTCACCTGTGTCCCTTCCCAGCCAGGTGGGCCAGCTTGGCTGCTCATGCTGTTGGGGGGTCATCTTGGGGAAAGGAAGCTGCTGCTGCTGGGCTGTGACCAGATAGCTGACATTGTCCTAAATCATACCCTGGGGTCGGTGACAGGGCAGAGGGTGGCTGTGGGGAGGGCCCACTGGGCTGCCCACGTTTGTACTTGGGTCCAACAAGTGAGAAGATTCCAGAAGCATGACTTTTGCTTTTTCTAGCAGGATCCTTCATGGTATGATTCTAGATGGTCATATTACCTAAAAGTGACACACTGAGGTGCTTTTAGTCCAGTGGCACTTGGTATGAAGCCTCCAGGAAGTCGTTTCGCCTCTTCTCCCTTCAAGCACAAGCTCTACTGCAAAAGGGCCAGTTAATTCCTGTTTCTCTCAACCACGGGCTTCTGCTGACTGAGGATACCTTTTTATTTTGTTCTATTAAATATTCTTGAATGTATTAAAATTGCTGAAACACATCAGGCTTGGGCATTTCTAGCTCTCCATTCCCTGCTGCCCTGCTGACATCACTTGACCAGGACCTTTGCCCCCCCCACCCCCCGGTACTGGCAAGGGGAGGGCACCTGAGCCCAGCCTCCATCCCTGCTGGCTGCCCCTCCCTGTAGTTAACAGGCCTGGAGACCTGGCGGGGGATCAAGAGTCCCCAACCCTGGGCTGCAGCACACAGCTACAGCCTGGGCCAGTGCCTGGACCTGAGGGGGCGGCTGGCCTGGTGAGGCCTGTGAGGGCTGAGATGCTGGGGCAGGTGCCAAGGCCCCGGGCGCACTGTCCCAGCTGCAGTACGAGGACAGAAGCCCTGGGATTCCTCAGCCATAGCCCAGACACGGGCTCTTTTGGTGGGTAGGGGGTGACTTGGGTTTTTTTTTAGAAATGTATCTTCTTGGAGGTAATTTTCAGAGTATATAAAATTACAGAGAAGAAAAAAAAATTATACCACTCAGAGACAACCAACCAGTCAAGCCTTTTTTTCCATGTGGTGTGATGATGAATTCACGGAGCACAGCCCAGAACAACACTGCATCTATAATGTTGCACCTGTCAAATGTCACATGCAGAGGGGCTGGTGGGGCCACCTCTTGTGCACTGGATGACCTGGGGTGTCCTTCCCAGGGTCAGGAGCCCAGGCAGTAACTGACTTCCTCCTGGGGAGCCCAGGAACCCCACTAGCCTGAGTTGAAGTATATCCTGTGAGTGCTTGAGAGCCCCCTGAATGGAGCTGACAGCCACAGGCATCCATCATGGCCTGACGTCAGTGCTCAGTGCCCGAGACCTCGGGTTACAGAGCTGGGCACCAGGAAGGACTGAGTGAGGACCGCACGTGGCTCCAGCTGCTCCCCAGCCGCAGAGCCCAGGGCTAACGTTCAGACAGGTCTCGTGTGCAGCGCAGGAGGAGAGCCCCTGCTGGACCCTCAGCAGCAGGCGCACTGGGGGCAACATGGGCTTAGATGCTGCTCTTCAGGTATGGGGGTTGCTCGCCCCAAAACATCCTGCCTTGTTCCAGCTGCCTCAGCTGCTGGCCAGGGAGACCCAGCCCCGGGGCCCTGCTTCCCCCAGCTTGGCCAGGGTAGCACCTCTGGGAAGGGAGTCATTGCTGCCCTGACTTAGGGGAGGTTCTAGAATCTCTCTGGTGGTGGCTTTGAGGGGTGGAAGTAAGAAAACAGGTGCCTGGGGAGGGGAGAGGTCCAGAAAGGGTTTCTCTCCACAGCTTCACAGGGCCGGGGGCCATGCATGGTGGCATGCAGAGGCCAGCTCTCTGGTCCCATCCTCAAAAGTGCTACGCCTCCCGTGGCTTTGGTTTGGCCTGAGTTCTGTTGAGGTTGTCCTTCAGGTGGATGATGGTGACAGATACAGGGTCCTGTGCCTCTGGCACTTGCTCCGCATCAGTGGGTAGGGGCAGGGTCCTCCCCAGGGCCCCACATTGCTGGAGAAATGCTGGCTGGAGCTGTGACCCTACCAGGGCAGGAAGTCAGCGGGCGCAGCCTGTGCACCTGTGCAGGAGGCGGGCTGGGGGCTGGGCAGGACAGGGCTCTGTGAACACAGGGAGCAAACCAGGCCAGGAGACAGGGCCGAGGGCGGGTCAGAGGTGTGGAGTGTGACCAGCAGGGCCTGCCCTCTGTGCCACCCAACTGACCGACAGGCTCAGAGCAGGGGAAGGCCCCAGGAGCCACTGTGGACGTCTCCACTGAGTGTTGGGGCGGGAGGGATCCTGCAGTCCTAGGAGACAGGACAAGAAAGGCCAGGGAAGAATGATAGCCAGGCCTGTCACAGCACCCCTCGGGCAGGAAGCAGGGTGCACCCGGTGGGAGGTGAAACACCTGTGGCCCCCACCTCACTGAGGTCTGCTGCCAACACTTGTGATGGGCTGGGGTCCTTCCCACATCTGCAATATGGTAACCCCAAGAAGGGGCTCCTCCTGGACCCTATTACTAGGCAGGTTACTCTCTGAAGTGGGTTCGGGAGGTGCCTGGCAGGGCATGGGGGCCGGGGGGCAGCCAGTTTGATGTTCGGGCAGCTCCCCACTGAGGGCCATTCTTAGGAAGGCACTGGCATTCAAAGGGCTGCCCCTGCCCGCATGTAGCCCAGGACAGGGCCCCACTCCCATCTGGGCTCAGTTTCCACATCTACACGGGTGTACCCAGACCCGCTCAGAGGCATACGGTGCCTAGCAGGGATGCTGTCCGACACCCAGAAGCCCACCCAGACTGACACATCCTCCCAGGCAGGAGGGTTGGGGGGCCGGAGCTTCTGTGGCCGCCAGGGCTGCACGCCGCCTGGGGAGCTTCCTCCTAGGAATCTGCTTTCTTGGAGCCTGCCTCAGTCTCAGCATAAACTGGGGCCCTGGGAGGTGCCCCAGGGCCTCGATTCCCGAGCCCCAGGATGTGCGCAGTACCCTTTCCCTCTGGAGAAGTTGGTGAGCACCCCAGGACGGCCTGGCGGGCTCAGGGGTGCTGGCCCCAGTACCCACCCAGGGCTTCATCCTGGGTCTGGCATTTCTCCCTGATGTGGCCCAGCTGGCCCCAGACCAAACAATCAGGCCAGAGCCCACCCAGGTGCATCCTGCACAGGAACAAAGCCGGTGGGTGTGGCGGGCATGGGTAGTCTGGGAGCAGACTTCTGGAGCAGGGGAGAGCCCAGCTAGCCCTGTCACCTGGCCTGTGGAGCCTGGGCCTGGACGGAAGGAAGGGCTGGCACTCACAGCCATCAAAGCCCGACCTTGGGCCTTGCAGGAAAACCAAGGCCCAGAGGTAGAAGATAGAGGCTGCCAGGGCCATCCCTGGGCTCCCCACCCTCAAAGCTCCCTTGAGCCTGGAGAGCCTCCCAGGCACCTGCACAGGGGCCTCCCCCAGCATGACACCTGAGAAGCACTCAAGGCTGAGGGCACAGTGCTGGTGAGCACAGCAAGGCCACATCTGTGGAGGTGGCCCTAAGCTGTGGTGCCCGGAGGGTGGACCCTTCGGGTCAGGGCATGGCAGCAGAGGGTCCCACAGGAAGGCCTAGGGAGCAGATGTGAGTCAACCTGAGCAAGTCGACTCCCTGTGGGGAGGCAGTGTGTGTGAACAGACCTCCCCCGAGCCTGCCGAACTGGAGGGTCCTGGATGTGTGCTGTCTCCAGGCAGTGGCTTCACTGGCGATCTACACAAAAGCATGCGAGAGAGGACGCTGAACCACTGGAGCAGCTCCTCCAACAGGCTCCGGAGGGGCTGCTGTAGGGGAAGGCTGGGGGCCCAGTGCTGCCTTCAGGGCTGGTGGTTGGGAGGCCTGGGGAGCTGCTGTGGGGCCGGAGCTGAGCCAGGCACTGCCTGAGCACCCGGGCTTGAGGACACGGCTACCCTGGGCCTGGGGCACCCATGCTGAGTACCAGGGGTGAGCTCTGAGGTCTCTAGCACTCAGGCCCTGAGACTGCTCTAGCTGCAGAAATGAAGCCTTCCGTCCCTGGGCTCAGGGCACAGCTGGTGTGGGCCAGATGTGTGTATGGCTGGCTCACACGTGGAGAGATTCTGGTGGGAACGGTGCTGGCCCCAAGAAAGGAAATGGCAGGGGAGAGAACCATCATGCTGGGGGTTAGGGGGACTAGAATGGTCCCTGGGGTTGTCTGAGTGTTGTCTCTGCCCTATGAACCCTCATACATAGTCCCTTCCTGGGCCCACGTGACTCAGACTGTTTCCTTGCATGTTTATTGAGTGACAACTTGGATGAATATGAGCGGAACAGGTGTGAGCAGGAGGGTTTTGTCCCCGCTTGTCGTTTACCCAGTGTGGTGGCCCAGAAGCACGGGTGGGGAGCCAAGGGCCTGGGAGAAGTGTTTCCTGGCCAGAAGGTACCCCTTGACTGCTACCGTAGTCTGACTCAACTCAGCTCAGATGTCATGGCACAAATGAGTCCCATTTTACAGGGGAGACAACAGTGTCCCTCAAGCCCCTTGGGAAAGTCACAGCACCAGGGCAACCCCAGCTGGTGGCTTCAGAGGCAGGGTCCCCAGCCAGTGTGGGAGCTCCTTCAGTAAGGAAGCTCCTTGGTCCCCCACTACCCTCACCAATGGAGGTAAATAGGAGGAGGGCTGGGGCTGCAAAGGCCTGGACTGGGGTGGGGGCAAACAGGGTGACAGGGCCAGGTTGGAGGTGGGGAAGGTATTCAGGGCGAGGGGGACATTCCCAGTCCATGAATGCCTTACCCCATGAAATCTCGGGGTTTATTACTCTCAGCCTGCCCTCTCCACGCCCCACCACCTCAGGGGCCCCACTGACTATGAGACACAACCGGGATCAGGGATGCAGAGCTGGCTGGGTGGGGATGGCAAGCAGGTTTGGGCCCAGGAACTAACAGGGGAGGCTGCCCAATGACCCAGACTGAGTCGTGCAAATGACAGCACAGCCGGGGCTCTCACTTCTCGGATGGGCGGCAAGCACCTGGGCTCCCGCTCCACCCACCCTCTCCTCCCCGCTTGTGGTGCTGCTGGGGGAGACGGGGTGCTCCTGCCTGTGCCTCAGCCCCGGGGGCCAGCCTGGCCCTGAGCAAGCCCTTCTCTCCCGGGCCCCTCACCTCTGCCCTGCCAGCCCCAGCAGGTTGGGGAACACAAGGATTCCTACAAGCCCTGGGCCACCGACGCCCTGGCCCACTGATGCAGCTTGTCCCACTGTGCACAGAGTCAGGGTCACTCCATATGGGTCCAGATTTGAGGGTCGAAGGCGGGTTGCCTTGTATGGCTGGGCTGGGGCCATGTGGGGCTGTTTCCAATTTGAAATTTCCAATTTGAAGTCTCCTGAACAAGGGCTGCCAGGGGTTGAGGGCTGGGGGGGGTGGACTCCCAGCCAAAGGTTTAAGATTCCAGGTTAGTCTGTGGTGCAGAAGGTGACAGGTCCCCCCTCCCTTTGCTCAGAGAAGTGGGAGTGGGGGACAAGGCTTGGCTGGGCATCAGGGACTGTAAGAATGGGGGCCCCTGGTCCAGAGTCTAGACTGGAGGAATTGGAGAGCTTCCTAGAGGCATCCTCTGAGCTGAGGTGCCACTCCACACTGCCACTAGCTGCAGCAAGGCCCAGGAAGGGAGGCAAGGGCAGGGCCAGGCGGAGCAGCACCCCTGAGGGCCCCCGGATGCCATGCTGAGAAGGCAGGGCTTTACGCCTCTGAGACTGGGGAGCTACAGACAGATTTGAGGAGGAGCGAGCCCTGGGCACTTCCTGGGTCACAGACCGACAGTGGGGAGGCGATGGCACCGAGGCACTGACCCAGCCCGGCTCCTCCGAGAGGCCCCGAGAGGCCGGGGCATCCCTGGGGTCGTCTTGTGAGGGAGTGCGGGCGGGGGTCCAGAGGGCTTCGCAGGGCCAGGAGGACGCCGGCCCGCCCCTCATCGAAGGGCAGGGCGTGTGGACCCGGAGGTAGGGGCCGGAAGGGACGGCAGCCGGGAGAGCTCGCTGGGGGGCTTCCCGTCGGGGCCTCGCCCTGCTGAGGGCCTGGCCGGGCTCCCCCTGCGCCCAGGGGCCGCCCCTGCCCCCTCCGGGCCTCGGTTTCCCCGCGGGGCGGGGCGAGGACAGCGCGGGTCTCGAAGCCGCCTGCAGGGGGCGCCCGTGGGCGCCGCGGCCGGAGCCCGAGCACGAGCGGCGGCCGAGACAGCGGGAGCCGGCGCGCGAGCGGCAGGTCAGCCGGGGTCCGGGTCCGGGGTCCCGGCGGGCGGGCGGCGTGGGGCCGTCGGGGGCCGCGGGGCTGGGAGGGGCGCGTGGCCCGGGCCGCCCTCCGCTGGGGCCCCCGGCCGCCCCGACGCCCTCCTCCCGCCGCCCGGGGAGGGAGTCCGCAGGCCGGGGTCCGAGTCCTGCCCCGCGGCGGCCCCGGGAATGGCGGGCGCACGGGCGGCGCCGGCGCGATCGCCCGTCCTAGGCCGGTCGGGGGTAGGGTGCCCACCTCCCGGGCCGTCCCGAAGCGGCCCGGGTGGGGCGCGGGGTCGGCGCGGAGCGAAGGGGCGCGGGGCGCGGCGGCCCCCGCGGTGAGGGGTGGGGAGCGGGCGTCGGGACCCGCAGGAACCGCGCGGGGGGCGTCGTCGGTCCGTCTGGGCGCCGCGGGCGAGCCGCGGGGCACGCGGCGAACCTTCCGGACACGCCCCGGCCGGCCTGGGCCGGGGACGCGGGGACGCGGCCCGGGGAGGGCGGGCGGACCCCCGGGGGCGAGAGGGGCCCCGGGCGGAGCAGCCCGGACGGGGACCGGCGCCCGGGGGAGGCGCGGCGGGCGCGTCCCGTGGGCAGCGGCGGCGGAACCGGGCTCCGGGCACCGCGAGGCGGGAGGACGGGACGGGCGATGCGCGCCGCCGACTGTCCCGGCCGGCCGCCGGGCTGCCCCGAGCTGAGGTGAGAATGGCGGGAATGGTGGCGGCCCTCGAGGGATTTGGGGCAGAGCCGCCCAAGGGATCGCGGCGGGCGCGGGCCAGCGAGGCGGGAGATCTGCGCGTTCCAGCGCGGCCACCCAGCGCTGGACTTGAAGTTCCCAGGCTGTGCAGTGGGAGGGAGGGGGCGGCCCTGCGCCCCACGACGGGAAGACGGAGAAGCGAGACGCCGGAGGGCAGCTCTCCCCACACCCCCTCCCCCGGGACTGGAGTCGTCGCCGGCCCCGGGAGGGTGTCAGGACGCCCCCGCCAGCTCCCCCTGTGCCTGGTAGGCAGCTCTGCCCCGAGGGGGCCTGTGCCCCTCTCCGTCTCTGCTGTCCGGTTGCCATGGCCTCACAGCCCTTGCGCCCGCTGGAAGATTCTTCACATCACCTCCGTGCCCAGGTGGGGCTGCCCCAGTGTCCCGGCCTTGGGGGCCACAAGGAGGAGCTCTTTGGAGCCCAGCGGGCCGGGGAGGTTGTTGTGGGGTTGGGGTCTGCCTCCTCAGCTCCGTGGCTGGTCCTGAAGACTGTGGGCGGCTGGATGCCCTGTCCTGTGGGCTGACCCTGTCCCAGGGCGGGCAGGTCCATGGCAGAAGCCCCTCACTGAGGCTCACCCACCGGCCGTGGTGCTCGGCTCTGCCTTTGACCCTTGGCGTCTTCTGCCAGTCCCCTGGACCACCACCCCTCTATTCCCATCCCCTAAGGGCAGACTGGCTTCAGGGCTAAGCTGGCTTCCCTGTTCATAGCTTCAGGGAGGCTGAGGGTAGCCCAGGCAGGCTGGCAGGAGACAGGCTCTGGGCCAAGCTGGGCCTAGCCAGCCTCTGGGGACTTCCGTTTTGCCTCCCTCGGATTGGCCTGTGAAATGCAGGTCCCCAGCCACACCCTGGTCCTGTCCTCCGGGAGCCCACAGCCTAGGAGGGCAATGGCGGGCTTTAAGGGCAACCCAGTGGACCAGAGATTTTGATGCCCAAACTTGGGTTCTGGTCTTGCCTCGTTGTTCACTTGCTGGGTGGCCTTGGGCAAGTCACTGCCTCCGAGAATCTGGCCTTTCATCTGTAAAACAAGCTCCATATGAGCAATGTTGAATGCACAGGATATAGTGGAGAGTGAGAGATAGGCCCTGGCTGCCAGGGTGGCGCAGGGCAGATCAGAGTACAGTCAGTGTCTGCACCTGAGTGGGGGAACCCCAGAGAGAGTGTTAGCATTCAGGGGTCAGGGGCACCGGAAGGGACCACTGTTGACAGAGGGAGATGCCAGATGGAGCTGGCTTGGGAGCAAGCACTTGACTTCAGAGCACCACACCTACAAAACTGAGAGCCTCTGGGTGGCCCTGGGCAGTGCCTGCTGTGTAGACCACAGACCGGGGGGCGCTCAGCAACCTGAAATGCCACAGTAGCTCTTGCTACCACCTAACCTGCCTAATTCCTGAGCAGTCTTATCCTGGTGAGCTGAAATCATCACCCCATCTGGTGAGGTCTGTCTTGTCCATCACCAACTCAAGCTGGGCTCTGAGAGGTGTGCACACAGGAGAGCGGAGGGGAGGATGGCCAGATGGACAGCGAAGTATAGGCTGAGAAGGGGTGGGTGTGAGTGTCAGGGACGCCGAGGAGACCGTGAGTCCCGTGCAGAGTTGGCAAAAGGAATGATTCCCAGACTCCAGGCAAGGGGTCTGGGCCCAGGGAAGCATCAGTGGCTACAAGAGGGAGGGGTTGCCCGGTGGTCTGGAAGCTGGAGGGGCAATGCCTGAGGGTGGGGCCCTGGAGGTCTGTGCTGGGTCCAGATGGGGAGAGGAAAGTGGGAAGTGAACAGAAACTCAGAGCTGGGATGCAGAGAGGAGCCCCCCCAAGACCTCCTGGGCAGGGCCTGGGAGCTCCAGGTGGTGGGAAGGAGTTTAGTGGCAGAGGTCCCCCAGCCTCTGCTCACAGAATCACGGAAGGGGCTCCTGCCATGCAGAAGCTGTGGAATCCTGCTAGAGTCTGGAGGGTCTGGGCAGAGGTGAAGAGCAGCTGCCCTTCAGTCCAGCCTGTGGGGGGGGGCACCCAGGGAATGCAGGGTGCTTCAGCTCTCCAAGACCCCCTCGGGCCGCCCCTGACACGCCCGTAAGCCTCCCCCAGGCTGGAATCTGTGGATTCCTTGCCTGGAATCTCTCCCCCTCTTCCCTGTCCTCCAAGTCCAGCCCAAGCGGCCCCTCCCCTGCCTCCCAGATTCCCCTGGGCCCCTCCCCCCTTATGCAGGACAGGCCTGTTTCAGAGGTGCTGGGCTGCGGCCGGTGCCGTCTTTCTGCAGCTCCCACCTCTGTTGCCCCTGCTCCCACCAGCCCAGCTGCCACCCGGAGGTAAGGCTGCCTCGGTGTGCCATGAAGAGGGGGACAGCACCCCTCTGGTGCCTCCCTGGTGTCTGGGCGGGCGGTCCTTGTCTGCCCATCTGTCACGGGGGCTTCCATCTCTGTGACTTCTGCAAACTCTGACCTGGCTAATAGGGCCACCGAGCGGGCCGAGAAGCAGTGGCAGGACCATGCTGGCATTGGTCTGGCCAGCCTCCTGCCCTCTCCTTCAGCCTCCAGGGCTGCATCGTCCCACCTTTGTTACAGGGACCCCAGAGAACACAGACGCTAGTGGGCCTGGGATGGGACCCCGGAGAAGCCTGCTGGATGCCCTTTCCCATGGCCCCTTCAGGCATCAGAGTGCCTGTCATCCCGCCATTAGAGGGCTCATCTGAGCAAGGGCCAGTGCCCAGCACCTCCCAGGATAGAGCTGCGCTGAGGGGACGTCTGAGTGAGAGTGGGGTGGAGCGGGAGTGGGGCCCCGGCTGGAGCCCTTCCACCCCAGGGTGGGCGCCCAGCACCTCATGCAAGGAGTGGCCTCTTGGAGTGGGGTGTCAGGTGAGGTGGCCAATGAGGGGGTGAGCGGCCTCCTCGGGCTGGGAGAACCTGGTCTCTCTGGCCTGTGGCCTGACCCCGAGGGAGCGACAGGGGGAGCCTGGGTCCCCAGTGGGGAGAGGGGTGTCGTGGCAGGCCTGTCGTCCAGGGAGTGGTGATGTGGAGGTCACTCTGGGAACCCGGCTCAGCCCCAGGGACTGAGTAGCAGCCGCCCCAAGTGGCTGCTTGGGGAGGGGGCACCACCCGTGCCTGCCAGGTCTTGAGGTTGCTCCGCAGCGCGAGGGTGGGAGGTGGCACCAGCACGTGGGGGTTGCTCCCCTCCGGGCAGCAGCGACAGACCCCTGCCCGGCTCTGATCGATGGGCTTGGAGAGGGGTCTGGTGGGTCCTGGGGCTCTGGGAGGCTGTGTCCAGGCTGGACCCCCCCCGAGAGACTGGTCATGGCAGAGCTGGGGGGGCGTGCGGCAGGAGCAAGCGCTGCTTTGTCTTCGCTTGTCGCCCTCCCCGCACCCCAACTTCTTCTCAGTCTGCCTCCCGTGTCTCTCAACTGTCTCCCTGTAGACTTTGTCCCCTGTGAGGTTTCCGTGAGAATTCCTCAGCACCATCTTCAAGTCCCCGATGGTCTCCGCAGCTGTGTGCACGCCTCAGGTGACCCGCCCTCCGGTGCGCACTCTCCCAATCCCTCTGTTTCTCATTTCTGGGATTTCACATTCTTTTTGCTCATACGCACCTGTTCTTGTTTATAGATGCTGTTCCTTTCATTCCTTTGAAGGTCCTAAATATCTTTGAAAATCATTATTAGGTCGCCCTGTTACCTTCGTCTCGTCGGGAATGAGCCCAGCTCTGTATTCCGGATGCTGCTGCTCATCTCCCTTAGCCTCCTGTGCCTCGAAGCTGGTTTGCAGGCTCACCTTTCACGGGAGTCGAGGCCCGGGAGGCAGGGAGCAGCCCGCACAGCCGCGTGGCACCGGCTCCCAGAACGGCCTCCTGGGACGGGTCTCCTTCGGGGCCCCGCCATGGGCTCAGGTCCCTGCGGGGGCCAAGCTCAGCAGCAGGTGGCCCACAGCTCGCTGCGGTCCGGCAGTTGGGACCCTCAGGACGGGATTCGGGAGCCCGGGAGTGGCCCCAGCACGTCCGACAGGTCTGAGTCCCTGCGCCGGGCTCAGTACCTCGCCCTTAGCTGTGCCCAGGAGCAGGTGTGTAGGGTCCTGCCTGGAAGCTGTGGGTACCTCCGTCCGGCAGGCTCTGGGGGGTGCAGCTACCATCTGGGCATGTGTACAGAAAGCCTCCCTCATCTGATGTACAGGAGCCCGAAGTGGGCCAGGAGATAAACGGGTTTCGATTAACTGGAGTTTCGATTAGAGTGGCCAGGCTGGGGGGGTGAGGAGCAGGGTGGGGAGGGGCGGTTTTAGGTCTGACTTCTGGGAATCCTGTGGGGTTGTCCTTTCAGAGCTTGTCAGGCCGGCTCTCCTGCGTGTGTCTTTGGTTCGTATACGGCAGCATCTGCCCTCTCTGCCCTGTCCCCAGCGAGGCACAATCACAGGGAAATATTACATTATTAGTACTTAGTTTCCCCTCCTGGCTAGCAACAGATGACTCCAGGGTTAATCAGATGGAGCCACCAGAGAGAGAGGAAATTGCCAGGTCTCGGCACCGCCCCCGGGCCCCTTGCCCTGGGCCTCGACCTTCCTGTCTGCTGCTGGACGCCTCAGAAGGGAGGGGAGTACAGAGGGGCCGGGAGGCCCCAGGAAATCTTCCTGCTGGGTTTTCCTTGGGCATTTCCCCCAGTTCTTTTCCACCCTTTATGCTCATGCAAAGGCTGGGAGGGGTCCTTAACGTCTCTGGGCCTTAGCTTCTTCATCTGTGAGGTTGGGCTCCTGGGACCAGTGAGAACAGCACAGATGACCTCTGACACCCCCCCAACCTCATTTTTCAGGCTCCTGAGGAGGCTGCACAAGCTAGTTTGGAAGGTCTGAGGTAGAGTCCTAACACCCAGGCAGGTAGCCCCTGGGTGCGTGCAGGGTTTGGTGGCCCATTGGTGGCAGGAGCCTAGTGGCGCATATGCTCTTGAGCTGAATGTGTGTGCTGATTCCCAATTCTTATGACACATAGTAGCTCGAAATCGGCCATAATGGGAGCATTTGCCCTGCAAGTCTGGCAATGACCACAAGGCAGGACACCCCAGCCCTGGGCTGATTTGCTGGCCAACCACTGGGAAGCTCCCTGCGGTCGCGAAGACCAGCTCCAGCAGGAAGCAGCCCCCGCCTGCTCCCTGCCCGGCTGCCCCTCTGCCCCGCTGCCAGGGCTCTACAGCTGTGCTCCACTTGGCGTTGGGAGACTCTGGATTAGCGGACACCCAGGGTATCTGTGGGGCACTGGCAGCAGCTGGAGGAGGCTGCAGGAGTGCTGCTGGGAGGGTAGATGGGGAGCTGGATGCATGAGGACACGGCCTTTCCAGTCTCGGTGGGCAGGGGCATTAATGCATCGTTAGTTCCTTGCAGGACTGACGTGAGCAGGAGGACCTGTTGTGTCCAGGGAGATTTAGGAGGGCGCCCAGGCCTAGTGGACAGCAGGAAGGTGTTGGTAGGGGTGCACAAGGTGCTAGGGAGACCCTGGGGCCTGGGGTCCGTGGGCAGCAGGGGCTGCCGGGAGAGCCTCACCAAACAGAGGGTCGGGTGGGTTAGGCCCCTGGAAGTGCGCTTTGCCAGGAGACGTCCTGTCTCCTGGGGAGTCGGCCCGACACCACGGCAGGGGCTGGCTGGTGCTATGGCTCCATCTGCAAGGGCTCTGGGAAGTGGGCTGCACGGCCTCACAGAAACGTGGCACGCTTTGGGTCAGGTGGCTTGTTGGTGGCCCCACCTCATCTGTCCCTGGGGCAGGTCGGCCCCTGAATCTGGACAATGGTCTGGGGCCGAGTCAGCCTTCTCTCCTGGGCTGGTCAGATTGGCAGAGGCTGTGGTACCTCTCGGCGCAGATCATGCCAGGGTGAGGAGGCTAGGAGTGCAGGCGGCTCTGGCCACCGGTGGGAGGCAGGGTCCCTGGAGCTCCCTGGACCTGGCCAGGCAGCTGGTGGTGCTGGGCCTGAGGGCCCCAAGGTAGGAGGCAGTCCTGGGCCTGTCGTTTCCCTTCTGCGGAATGAGCATGAGACCCTGGATAGGCAGCCTGTCTGTTGGGGGTCCCCTGGAGGTCACTGCTTTGGGCTCAGGCTGGAGCATGCAGAGACGCTCAGTGTGTCCAGGGGTGGCAGCAAGAGACTCTGCCAACGGTTGGCTGGCAAATGCCCCCAGCGTAGCAGAGGCTCGTTGTGGTCCCTAGGTGGTGAGGTGGTGGTCCCTGCCAGGCCTGAGAGGGGCCCTCTGTACTTGCCGCAGCTGCAGGAACCCCCATTTCCCGAGGACTTGGCCTCTCCTCTCCTGCTCCCTGCTGTCCGGCGCTCCACTGCCAGCCGCCGAGTGGGCCTGGGGAACAGCCCTCGGTGTGGCTGCAGCCCAGACCCGCCCAGCTCCTGCCACCGAGGCCCATGGAGTTAGGAAATGGGGTTCGTCTGTTGCAGCCATCCGGCACTTCCTGGACAGGGCTGGGCGGGGTGGGGAGGTCTGGCCCTTTGAACATGGTGAGGGACCACAGGTGACCTTCTCCCAGGATTGCCAGTCCCACTGTACCCCTCGTGTCGTGGAGGAGTGAGGGGCTGCAGCCCCTGAGCCCACGCGAGGGCAGCTGGGAGGCAGCTGTGGGCCCTCCGTCCCCAGGCAGGTGGCAGCTGCTGCCCACGTGTACCAGGGGCTCCTCAAGGGTCCAGGACTGGAGGAGAGAGTGGATTCGGCATGGGGTGGGGGCACCGCTGGGTAGTACCTGTGAGTGTGCCAATACGGGGGCAGAGGTGGTGGGGAGAGGTAGTGGGGGATGGAGACCACTTCACAAGCTCAACAGGGGAACACAGGCCAGGGTGCTTGGGCTGGGGGAGGCCAAGACCTGTACTTTGGCTTCCCAGAGGTCAGTAATTCCTTACGTGTCTGTGACATTCGACTCGGGGGAACCCTTTCAAATCTGTCTGTTTCCTTTTTCCTGAATCTGGGGGGCCACTGAAATGGCACTGGCAGCTATCTGGGATCCAACCTCTCTCCTCACTGTATCAGTGGGGAAACTGAGGTCTGGAAAGGAGAAACCCTTGCCCACCGCCCTCCAGCATGTCCTGGCTAAGTGCCCTGCCTTCTGCCCGGCACCAAACTGAATTCACAGTCCTGGTGTCAGGCAGGCAGAGGAGCAGGTTGGGGAGTTGGCGTGGGAGGAGGGAGGGGAGGGAGGGGAGGGGAGGCGAGGCAGCTGCCCCGCCCCAGTGTGCATCAGCTGGCAGGGGCTCTGAGTGGCGGGCTCCCTGCTCCGCTGCCACCAGTGCAGCCCCGCGAGGGCAAGGGGCTTCCCTGCCAGCAGCTGGAGATGGGACCACATGGGCCCCAGGCCCCTAGGAGGGGGGACTCTGGGCCTGCTCCTTACCAGGCAGGGTAGGTAGCCGCTGCTGGCTCCACAGAGTGCTCCGGGGGATGCAGCAGCCTGAGGCTGGCTGAGGAGGAAGGTAGGTGGGCCTGGGCAAGCCCGAGGGGCCGTGGTGGTGGCCGTGGTGGGGAGCTAAGGGACCCAGGAGACGGGCAGGGCCACCACAGAAGGCCCGAGAAGCTGAGCACCGGAGGCTAACACGAGTGACTTAACTTTGAAAGATTCCCGGCTCCCCTAGAGAAAAGCAGAAACTGGGGCTGGTGCCCAGCTATGTCCAGGGCGGGAAGGTCATTCTCACGCTGGTGCCTGGCCCGCAGGGAGGGTGCTGGCGAGCTGGGGCTGCGGGTGGCCCCTGGGGATCTTCAGCTGCACCCAGCTGGTGGTCCAGCCCTCACAAGGCTTCTCCCTTGGCAGGTGCTTAGGAGCCCTGACGCTGAGCTGGGTGGGCCGCGATGCTGGAGCCGCTGGAGGGGACCTGCTTTCTGGAGGCGTGGAGCTAGCTGCCAAAGCCCGTGGGGAGCCCCCCCACCGACAGACCGCTCTTGGCTCCTGTGGAGGAGGGGCTGGGGCCTGGGCAGGGCCACCGCGCTGCAGCTATGGACCATGAGCTGGCCTGGCCCGCACCCCTGCTGACCCTGCCCGTCCGCAGCCATGGTCTCCATGGGCTTCCTGGTGTACATCGTGGTGGAGCTGGCCATTGCTGTGCTGGCCGTCCTGGGCAATGTGCTGGTGTGCTGGGCTGTGTGGCTCAACAGCAACCTACAGAATGTCACCAACTACTTCGTGGTGTCGCTGGCAGCGGCCGACATCGCTGTGGGCGTCCTCGCGATCCCCTTCGCCATCACCATCAGCTCGGGCTTCTGTGCCTCCTGCCACAGCTGCCTCTTCTTTGCCTGCTTCGTGCTGGTCCTCACGCAGAGCTCCATCTTCAGCCTCCTGGCCATTGCCATTGACCGCTACATCGCCATCCGCCTCCCCCTCCGGTGAGCCAGGCGCGGGGGTGGTGGGCGGCCCCACATTCTCTTCCCTGGCATGCCCCATGCTGGGGCTCCCAGCTGTAAAAAGGCTGCCTGTGTCCGGGTCTGGCCTGTGCCAGGGTCAGGGTGAACCCAGGGTCAGGGTGAGCCCAGGGTCAGCGTTTGGTCTGTAGTGTCAGCATGCCGAGCTGACATGCTTGGCTGGGGTTGCCCAGGGCTTGGCACAAGGCCAGCAACTGTGCCAATCTAGCTGATCCCCATAGGCACAGGGTCCCCTGGCTCTCCCCGGCCTCCTCTAGGCTGCGGTTGAGGCTTCTGTGTTTGGGCTCTTGGCAGATGTGTGCGGCCAAGGCCTGGGTAGGCGCGCCTGGGCTTTTCCTCACCCAGCTCGGTGCTGGGCTGGGGCGGGGCACCGTGGGGCACCACAGGACCTCAGAGCTAGCAGCGTGCCCGCCTCCCTCCAGCTCCTCTGGGCAGCCGCACAGTCTGCACATTAGGAAAATGACCCAGAGTGCTGGCCGGATGCCACAGTGAGTCACGTGAACCTATATGCAAATTCTGTGTTCCTCAGGCCACCAAACACTCATGCTCTTGGAGATGGCCTGTGCCTGGGGGCCTGGTGGTGAATCTTTGGTGAAGTGACTTCAGCCATGTATTGTGTAAATGAAGACTTTCCCTGGGGCTGACTTGACTTAGTGGCCTCCAGTTTACTGGCCAGGGATGATGCTAGGATTGTGCCCCTCCCCTGGGGGCGCCTGGGGCCTCCTGCCCCACCTCCTAGCCTTTCCGTCCTAGAGATGGACTCCACAGCATGGGCAGCTGCAGGCCCTGAGGGAGTTCTCAAAGGACCAGGGCTACCTGTCCCCATGGCCAATTCTCCCAAACGGTGGGTGGGCGGCACTTACCTACCCAGGCGCAAGCCGAGCAGGCCCAGTGGCCCCAGCGTGCATGCGTGCAGGGCCCAGCCGGGAAGGACCAGGCTCCGTGAGCAAATGGAAATTTAGAGTGTCAAACCACGGGGCCCTGAGGTCATTTCCTCTCATCTTCTGGATGGAAGCAGGCTCAGAGATAGGAGCCAGCCCTCAGGGCCACACAGTGAGCTGGGAACCGGGCCTGGGGAGAAACGTGGTCTGCCACCCCCTGCAGCTTCGGTCCTTGGGGAGCCAGGTCACAGGGTGGCCCCTAGACCTGCACCAGGTGGCCACTGCTGTCACCTGGGCTCTAAAGGGGAAGCAGGCACCCTTATTATACAGCTTAAATAAAGGGAGGAGCCCAGGCCCTATGTGCCTATGGGACACTCTGGGTCTCAGGAGAGCCCAGGACCTCTGTCAGAGGAGACGGGGGCTCCAGCTTAATGCAGAGCAGAGGCTGCACTCCCTGAGGACAGCTCAGAACACGGAGCCCAGGAGGGGTGCCTGTCTGGGGGCCTCGGGGGACCAGGGAGTGAAGGACTGGTGTCCACTTCAGGGACAGCCCCGGGGAGAACATTCAGTGGGAAACAGAGGCCTCCCCTGCCCTTTGTTCCCTGACTCAAGGGCTGCACTATACTGGAGAGAGAGGTCAGGGCTGCTGGTCTCAGCTGAGAGGGGCCCAGCTTGCCTCTGTTTCCTGAGAGTCAAAGGAATGACTCCCCGATATAGGAGGATGGGACATGCTGTGTGACTGCAAAAAGTCAGCTGTCCCTCTCTGAGCCCGTTTCCTCATCTATAAAAGGGAACAGTCCTCTCTGTCCTTCTGAGCCCACAGAGGTGTTGTGGATAGGAGCAGTGGGGCCCTGAGGAGGGTCGTCGGGGTGGGCAGGCTGCGTCTTCTGCTCTTTCTTGAGCTGCTGGAGGTTCAGAGCCAGGCCCCTGGTTGGAGCCACGGACTGTCCCCACCTTCAGTACCCCTGACTCCCACGGTCTTCCGGGGCGGGACCTAGTTTCAGTGGACGCTGGCCGTCTGAGCTCAGTCAGGCTTTGGAGGGCCGGCCTGGTTCCTGGGTCTGGAGCAGGTGGGGCTGAGGTGGCAACACCGCCCACCCTCCCCTCGGGTGCAGAGCTTCACAGTCACGGAGGATGTGGGCGCAGCAGCCCCTCTGACACGCAGGCCCGGCACTGCGGCCGGGGCAGATGTTCTGGCCATCGTGTCACTCGGAGGGAGGCCAGAGCCAGAGAGGGGCCATGTGCCCTGACGCGGGGACTCCGGGTCCCTCTTCCCTGAGGGCCCTGGGCCGGGGCCCGGGAGGGCAGCGTGCATGACGGTGTCCGTGTGGGGCCCCGAGAGCAAGCTGGGCACAGGAGGGCACTGGAGGCCCAGGAGGGCCCGGAGCTCCCGGCAGCTCCGGAGCCCCTGCCGGGCTCGGGCTGCCTCTCCTGTCCCTCTTGTGCCCTTCCAGCTGGGAAGCCAGCTTCCTTTTCGTGCCATTTCCAGCTCCACTCAGGGCTGTTTGCCTACTTTGAGGCCTGGCCTCTGACCGATTCTGGGCCGATGCCACACCCCAGGCCTGCCCAGTTCCCATTAATTTCTTTTTTTAAAAAGAGTTCTGTTGCAGAAAAATCTGTGTGTTCTTCCCAAGTGCAGAGAGCCCGGTGGGCTGGGGCAGGGCCGAGTCAGGACGCTGGTGAGAGGGAAGCCTGCCCAGAGGCAGAGACGGGAGCTCCCGGTGTGCCCCGAGGACGGGGACCCCGGGGAGAAGCCAGGCTTTCTCCGGGGACTCCCACCCCGCTGCCTCCTGTCTCTCACATTAGCCCCTGGTAAGCGCTCTCACGGGAAAGGCGAGAATGGGCAGCAGCTGGTGCAAAAGCCCAAAGCCATGTGCGCTCCATGGACAAAACCTGAGTGCCCTGGCCTCCGAGGAGGGCAGGATCGGGAGCGAAGGCTCCCTGGAGGAGGTGATTCCAAAGGGGTCCTGTAGGATGGCATGTGTGCCAGCAGGCTTAAGAGGAGGGGCCAAGCCTGAGGCAAAAGCCCAGAGAAAGGAATGAGCGTGAGGGCTCTGGCACAAGGGAGGGGAAGACGCAGAAGAGCGGGAGGGCCGGGAGGGCAGGGGGCTGGCTCAGGCCTGCCCAGGCCCAGCGTCGGGGGCTCTAGGTCTTGGATCACCGGCTCCTCTGGCCACCTTAGGAAAGCAGGGCACATGCACAGGAAGCCGCCCTAGAATCCTAGCAGGTGCTCTCGGGATCGTGGGGTGAGCCCCAGCATGCAGAGTGGTGAGCCCCCAGGGAGGGCAGCGTGTGAGCTAGAGGACACAGGGATATAGAGGCGCCGCAAAATGTGGTGGGCAGTGGCTCTGGCACCTGCTTCCTCCGCCGCCTCTGGTGCCCCGGAGTGGCCGAGCATCGTGCTGGGCAGCCCTGGCCTCCCTGCCAGCATGCGGTCTACATCTGGGGCCTAGGAGGTCAGAATGTGACCGCTGTAAGTCACAGCCCGGCCCAGGAGACACTGGCTGGGCCGTTGTTCCGTTGGGGCCTGGGCCCAGGGTGCTCAGCCTCAGGCGCTTTCTTTTGAAACTCAAATTTAATTTGCTTTTTTTTTTTAATAAGTAATACCTGCACTTACTGAAACATCAAACAAGAACAAAAGGGTATGCGGTGAAAAGCTGTTCCGCCTGCTTCCTGCCCCCCCCCTCCGGCACTCTTCCGGGGAGGAGGGAGTGTGAGGGGCCCTTCCAGGACTTTCTGCACAGCAGGTGCTGTTAAGTGGGCCTGTTTTGGGGCCCCCCAGGGGGTTTCTTTTCAGAATGCAGCGGACAGAGTCCCCTTGACGGTTTCCTGGGCTTTGAACGCCGCAGGCAGTTGTGCGGACCAGGGATCCTCAGCCCCTGCTCCGGAAGCCTGTGGGCCCTTCGCCCCAGGACTGTTATTCAAGCCTCCCCCTCCCCAGCAGCTCCCCTTCTGGGATTGCCTGGGCCTGCGGGCAAGAAGGGCAGCTGCTGGAGAACAATTTGAAACCCCCAAAGAAGGTGGCCTCCAGGGTCCCCTGCACCATCCCTGTAACTACTTGCTTCTGTTCCATTGCCTTAAATGACAGGAAACTCATTAGTGCCCAAGGCAACCCACTTCTTCTGTGAAAAGCTCAGCTGAGAAGCTCTTACTTGCCCTGAGCCACAGTCCACTTACCAGTGATGTTCAGCCACTGAGTCTACATTCTGCCCTCGTGGGCAGTGCTCATAGGCCCTAGATCCGAGTCTCATTCTACAGATGAGGAAACCGAGGCTCAGAGAGTCGGAGTGACAGGGCCCGGCCAAGCAGGCATACACCAGGGCTAGACACCAGGGAGGGATGCACTTTTCTCAGGAAAAGTATCGATGGTAAAAGAGCCTCTCATTCAATGAGATTATATAAATTACTATTTGTAGAATACTAAAAACGGCCTGGCACAAAGCAAGTGCTATATGAGCATTACATGGGGGGAAAAAAAAGCCCGTGGCTTCGCATTTGAGGCTCCAGAATGGGAACCGGGCAGTGCGGGCTCTCTGTGGCTTGGAAGAAGGACTGAGTCCAGGCCCTTTTCCTGCCGAGTCCTGCAGAGGGTGGCCGAGCTGCTGCTGACTGTGGCCACGAGCACCCGGGAGTCCAGAGCGGACACAGATCCGGAACTGACAGACTGACCTTCAGGCACGGTGCTCCCAGCTCCTGGAATGTCCACCGCATGTCCAAGAGGGGTTTTCCTTGGGCCTCAGTTCCCCCACCTATGCAATGAGGGGGTTGGGCTAGATAAGTCAGAGACCACCAGATTTTGTTGTTTTTCTTCATTTGAGTTTACAAAATTTAAACCATGGGAAATTTTACCCACAAAACCAGCTCCTCAGCTCCCTGAGGTCCGGCAGCACTGGGCACATGTTGCATGGCAGCCAGGGACCGAGCAGCATTCGCTGCCACGTGGGATAAACACCCGCCAGCCTGCCTCACACCTGTTACCTCTAGGCTGCTGGGTCTGCCACCTGCAGATGGACTGAACAGTTTCTATGGATGCTCCCAGTTCTGGCACTAAGGCAAGCACGTTTTAAAGCCTACTGTGTAGTGCAGAGATGGGAGGTGGAGAGCCCGCGTCGGCAGGGCCCAGAGCAGGCAGGGATAACTGTGCTTGAGCAGGAAGCTTCCCTGAGAAGATATGTGGCCTGAACTCGAAGGATGGGTTGGGTTCCGCGGCGAGAGGAGGGGCCAGTCTGGTGGTACCAGGATCAACACTGTTACCAGGAGGCCCACCCTCAGACCACGGAGACTTCCCTCAAGCAGGGACGTGGCTCTCTGATTGCCCGTTCTTTTAATAAAATCTGCAGCACCTTTTGGAGGGCGTGGAGTCAGCTTACTGGCAGGCAGATCGGGCCACACCCCGGGTCTGGGACTGAGGCTGGCCTCAGGAGGACTGAGTGGTTCTGGGCAGAATCGTTTCCCCTCTGGACTTCAGTGCCTCGTGCAGCTCTTCCCTCCTGCAGGCTAAGGTTCACGTGCATACGTTGAGATCCTCTCTCTGCAGAGAGCCGAGGGTGAATCTGGAGAGTATTTCACTGGGCCTGGGACCTCCACCTCCCCTTTGCCCCCCCGGGCCACCTCTCTGAGGGCTTCTGGAGACCCTCTGTGGAGAAGGAAGTGCATGGCGTGCAGGCGGGATGAGTCTTACCTCCAGGCCTGATCTGGCTGGTTCTGCCACCCGCCACAAGCCTTTGCTCCCGACCCACTGTCCCCCCTCTAAGGGGCAAGCTGCCCGGGCACCAGCTGAGATCCACACTGATCACTAATTCCTGCAAACCAGACTAGCTCAGCCCCAGGACTATTCATGACCATCTGGACGGCTGCACAGTGCCTTCCCCCCGCAGGGCACCCGCAGCCCTGCCACCTCCTGGGAGGAGAGGCAGGGCGTGGGCCTCCACTGAGCGGAGGGGACGCTGTGGCTGGGAGGCAGGAGGAGCCTGGCTGGAGGCCTCACGGCAAGTGGGCATGGGTCGGGTGCCACTCTGGGGTTCTGGCCGGGCCCCTCCCGGCCCTGGTCTCTCAGAACTCTGACACTGGTCTCCTCTCCCCAGGTACAACGGCCTGGTGACCGGCACAAGGGCCAAGGGCATCATCGGGGTCTGCTGGGTGCTGTCGTTCGCCATTGGCCTGACCCCCATGCTGGGCTGGAACAGCTGCGGCCGGCCCAGCGCAGGCGGGAACCGCTCGCAGGGCTGCGGCGCAGGCCAGGTGGCCTGCCTCTTTGAGGACGTGGTCCCCATGAACTACATGGTGTACTACAACTTCTTCGCCTGCGTCCTGGGGCCCCTGCTGCTCATGCTGGGCGTCTACCTGCGGATCTTCCTGGCGGCGCGGCGCCAGCTGAAACAGATGGAGAGCCAGCCTCTGCCGGGGGCGCGGGCCCAGTCCACGCTGCAGAAGGAGGTCCACGCGGCCAAGTCCCTGGCCATCATCGTGGGGCTCTTCGCCCTCTGCTGGCTGCCGCTGCACATCATCAACTGCTTCACCTTCTTCTGCCCCGCATGCAGCCACGCGCCCGCCTGGCTCATGTACCTGACCATCGTCCTCTCCCACACCAACTCCGTGGTGAACCCCCTCATCTACGCCTACCGCATCCGCGAGTTCCGCCAGACCTTCCGCAAGATCATCCGCAGCCACATCCTGAGGCGGCGGGAGCCCTTGAAGGCAGGCGGGACCAGCGCCAGGGCCTCGGCCGCTCACGGCAGCGACGCGGAGCAGGTCGGCCTCCGCCTCAACGGCCACCCGCCGGGCATGTGGGCCAACGGCAGCGCCCCGCACCCTGAGCGGAGGCCCAACGGCTACACTCTGGGGTTTGTGAGCAGAGCAAGTGCCCCCGAATCCCACGGGGACGTGGAGCTCCTCAGCCACGAGCTCAAGGGAGCAGGCCCAGAGCACCCTGGGCTCACGGGCCCCCCGGCCCCGGCCGGAGCGGGAGTGTCCTGATGCGCCTGAGTTCACGCTCTCCTGCGGGGAGGACGTCCTTCTTTCCGCTCGGCAGAGGAGTGTGCCGAGGGCCCCTTCTTGCGGCCAGCTCCCCTGTGCACCGAGGAAGGAGCCCTGGCTGGAGCGGCATGAGGCCAGCAGGAAGGGTTTGGAGTCCAGGGAGGCAGGCGTTCTAGGTTGGGAGGCCCTGCACCGGGCGGGCCGCAGCCCCAGAGCATCTTCACCCGGCGGGGGACCTGGTCCCCAACACCAGGAGGTGCCACGTCTCCGCAGAGCAGCTGCAGCAAAGCAGGCTGCCTAGCCCCGAGGCAGGGGAGTGGCTCCATCAGGCCCCCTGCCACACACACACCACCCTCCCGGGACTTTCTGAGGACTCAGAAGCTGCTGTGCCTGGAGGTGGCCTTCGACTATTTTTTCCCAGGAAAAAATATAAGCGTGAGGAAATCCTTTTTTAAAATTATCTTGCCTGCCTTGTAGCCAGGTCCGTTGTTAGTCCCGCTGCTAACCTGGCACCAGGAGCCCCAGGCAGCCCTCGGCCACAGCCGTGAGCTGCCACGCACGTCTCACCCTGTCCGTCTAGGGCCATTTCCTGGGACCACAAAGCTGGACTCAAGTACGGAGGACTGTTAACGGGGCAGAGCCAGCGTGTGGGCTCAGGAGGAAGCCAGGGCTGACCCACCACGGGGTGTCCTAACAGCTCAGAGCTTCCCAGTTAGTGGCCCTAGGTAACCACCTTTCCTTCTGAAGGGAATGGTTTTTTTTGTGAGATAAAATAAAAATGAGCCACGTTGTGTTTTATGCTTGTCCAGTGAGAATGGTGTCTAAGTTCCTTTCTCCACTCCGTCAGGCCTGGCACACATACATGATACGTGTTGCATATGTGAAAGAATGCATGCATCTGTGCAGACAGGCAGACATCCTGCTTGCCTGGGGCGGCCTCTGCAGGCTCCCGTTCTCCAAGGGGAAGGGCTGGCTGGATGCCCCAGAATCTAAATGCCCACATGCAGCCCCCAGACCTGTGATCCTAGGAGAGGGGCTGAAGGAAGGGGGGCTTTTTCCCCAGTGCTGTCCCTCCAGAGGCCAAGGCATCCTCTCACTGGGGGCCAGGCTCCTCCTCCCCTCCCTGCCTGCCTCTGGCCTCCGAGCAAGGTACCTGTGTGTCACCTCCCAGAGCTGTGCCCCACCTTCCCCACTGTCCACCCCTCAGCTGAGAGGCTGCAGACCGATCTGGAAAGAGATCTGGTAAGACTCAACTGCCTTTCCCTGGAGTCACCGCACGTGCTAATCCCAAGAAAGAAACCTGTAAGGAATGGGCATTTCCTATTCTGACACCGGCCTCTGGGGCCCTTACCTTAGGAGGTTCTGGGATGGAGACGTTTGAGGCCCAGGGGAAGTTAGCAACCTGCCCCAGCCTGAGGGCCAGGCTGGGCTCCAGGGTCGCAGGCACATGCAGGCAGGGATGGGAAGGAGTGCCTCCTTGGGCACTTCCCAGGAATCCTCATGCAGCCCTGGCAGCCCGGTTTCATAGATGATCAACAACCTCTCTTGAACACAGAGGTTAAGGACCTGCCTCAGGTTACACAGCTCCTAGGGGCAGAACCTAAAACTCAGGTCTGTCTGACTGCAAAGTCCAGGCTCATTTTTTCCCTACGAATTTATGAGAAACTGTTTCAGCCAAACCAAAAACTATGAACTAATACCATGTCCCCCCACCTCTGCTCAAGAAATGAAATGTCACAACTGCAGGGGAGGCATCTGACCCCTCCCCATATTATCACCCTACTTCTCGCACCTGGGAAGGACCACTTCCCTCGATTGTATTTCATTCTGTTGAATATCTTTACACTTTGAAAAGCACCGGAAGCCTGACCCTTGCCGTGGGGATGCTGGGGGGGGGGGGGGCCCGGGCAGCAGGGGTTCTCTGGGTTCTTACGGACGGCAGGGCTGAGGACCCCCGAGAATGAGGGCGCAGCCCCCCGCCCTTCCACGGCAGCCGCCTCCTCCCTCCTGCACACTTCGGCCTGCGGGCTGCGCGCAGAGCGGGGCGTGGGTTCCGCCCGGGAAGGCCCAGCTCTGCTGGTCTTCATGACCAGCAGGCCGGGAAAGGCTGGAAAGAGACCCCACAGCAGAGGGGGAAGAATCATCTCTCCAGCCTCTTCCGAGGCTTCTGGGGACCGCAGCTCTGGGTGCTAGGCTCCGGGGCTGCCGCGGGCCGGGGCCAGGCGCTCCGGAAAGGCGCCGGGTACACCTGAGCTGCAGGCGTTCTCGGGCCTGCCCCCAGCCCAGCTCGGAGCCCAGGCCGATGCGCCCGGGACTCCGCGGGGCCCGGGGGGCCCTGTCTCCCGCCGCCGCAGCCCCACGCAGGTTCCCCCTGAGGGCCAGGCCTCGGGGATAGGCCCGCTCACGCAGACAGGTGCCGCGTGTTACTCCCTCGCCCTAAGGGGTCACACGTGAGCGCCTGTGCGTGTGCACCGCCGCAGGAGGTGCGCACCGGGCCCAGAAGGGGGCCTGGAGGCAGCCCCGCCCGTGCGCTGCAGGTGCGTGTCTGCCCTGGGCCGGGCTGCGGGGGCAATGGGGCTGCTCTGCGCCCCACAGCTCTGTCCAAGGGCTCCTCTGCCCTCTCCTTCCCAAAGGGCTGGGGGTGGACGGCATGCTTCATTCAGGCCTGTCCGGAGCACGAGGGTCCCCCACGGCAGGAACGGCCCGGGTCCCTGGGGGCAGCTGCCGGCGGAAGCCCTCCGGAAGGCGCCCCTTTCCCCTCCTCCCTCACCACCCCTCTTGAAACCCTGCCTTTGTGGCTCTCCCTGTTTGCATTGGAGTCCTTTCCCCTAGGAGGCCTCACACAGGACCCTCGGGGCTTCCCAAGAGCCTGCTCAGCAGGGGCCTGGGTCTGCTCAGGACGCGCGGACCCACCGGGCGGCAAGCTCGGGCAACCCGCGGCGGCGCAGGGCTCAAGGGCAGCCTGGGAGCAAGGGGGGACGAGACGCCCGGGCCCCCCGCACCTGCCGGGCTGGGGCAGCGGCCCGCTCAGGCCTCCGGCCCTTTCCCAGTGGCGGGGAACAGGCTCCGGGGTCTCGGGCCGGCTGCACCTCGGGACGGCCCTCCGTGCCTAGCGCCCCGCTCCTGTCCCGCCACGCGGCCCCCCACGCGGCCGCCCTCCCCGAGGCCCCAGCCTGGGCCCAGCACTGCCTGCACACGGGCAACGGCCCTCCGCCGCGGGAGCGCTCCCGCCGGCGGGGGGCGGGCGCAGGGAGACCCGAGGCGGCTGGGGGGGCGAGCCGCCCCCTCGCGGGCGCTCATCTACCCTAAAACGGGCAGCCTCGGTGACAGGGTCGGGCCGCGGCCCACTCCCCTCCCTGCACCGCCCCCCCCCCCCCCCCAGGGGCCCCCCCCCCCCCCTGCAGCCCCCACTCATCAGCGGCCAGGTGGCCGCTGGGACAGACCCCCAGGCCGCGGAGAAGGTCAGGGGACTCGGCGTCCAAGGAGGGCGGCGGACACGCTAAGGGGCCTGGAGCTGCCCTGCCCGTCCCTTTGGCCGGAGGAGAGAGAGCAGCTCAGCAGGGCTTTCCAGAACAAGCCCCTGCCCGCCCACCGGTCAGGCCCGGAGGGAGGCCGGCCGTGAGCAGGGGGCAGGCCAGGGCTTCGTCCGCAGACGGGCAGGGTCGGCTGCGACGGGCCGGTGCCCGCCGAGGGCGGGCTCTCCTGATGCCGGCGAGGAAGGCTCTGCGTGGGACACCCGCCCTGCCCCGCCTGCCCAGGGGAAGCGTTCTGTGCACCAGCGCCCGACACAGCTGAGCTCCCGAGTGTTAGGCGGGAAAATGGACATGAGCGGGGTGGGAAGAGAAAAAGGCCAGACAGTCCACTAAAAAAGACCCAAAATTAATCAATTAAAGCTCAAAAAGCCAAGAGCCACTTGGCCTGGAACGTTTGAATCTTTCCTAGATGAAGGAGGTTCCTCAGCATTGCCCACGTCTTTATTGTGTTAATCACGCAGCCCAGCTTACTTTCTTTACCTTTACCTGTATGCCGTTTTTTCCTCCTTCCGGCCCTAATTAGGTAGTTTGTAACCTAGGCGACTAATCTAGCATGCAGGCCCAGCCGTAACAACACAGGAAAAAGCAGGAAAGATTCCATCTTAAAGATTGTATTTTAATACCCAGGAAGTTACAAATGCAAGATTCTTAACTTACTCTTTAGCAAACAGACAATAAGTCAGCCCTTAGTCACATTCCTAAAGAATCCTTAAAAGGGGGAACCCCCAACCTTTCTGGGCGCTCCTCTCTCTGAGGTCGCCCACACTTTCTAAATGCGTACATAACCTTTTAACTTTAAACTCTCTCTTTTCAACCTTTCAGGGGGCGCTCCTCTCTCTGAGGTCGCCCACACTTTCTAAGTGTGTAACCTTTTCATCTTAACCTTTCTCCCTCCAGACCTTCCAGGGCGCCTCTCCTTGCTGCGGGTGCCCGCTGCTCCTCTCTCTCTAAGTAACCTTAAGGAAAGGTTTTGCTCCGCTTCACTCCTGTGTCTCTGCCCTTCAGTTCTTTGTCGCGGCGGGACAAGGCCCGAGGGAAATACACACGCTCCCCCAACACCAGGAGGCTGGGTTAGGACAGTGCGGGCCACAACTTGAGTCCCAACTGCCCCGCCTGTGTCCCCTGTCAATCACTCCACGAGCACGTGCTGATGAATGCTGGGCCCTGGGGGGGCAGGTGCGCGAGGAGCCAACGACCAACTAAGGAAAACAAGCCAGATGCGGCCGGTCGTGGCAGCAGGAGTAGGGGTGGGGGTGGGGGCAGGGGCGGGACGGGAGGCAGTTGGGAGGAGGAGCAGATCCCATCCAGCTGCGCACGCAGGCAGCTGGGGTCCAGGGAGCCTTTCAAAGGACAGTGGTCAGCTGCAGGGCCCTCCTCTTGAAGGTGTTTGCCAGGAGATGAGGAGGGGAGCTGAGTACATGCGCACCTGATTTGCATCTGCCTACACAGAATCATGCCAGCCATGTGCAGGCAATTTTCAAGTTAAAATGTTGTCAGAGGGCTGTCACAATTTTGATCTTTCTTTTCTGTTCTTTCTCAATCCACCCACATTTTCTAGTTGGGTTGGAAAGGGGAGTGAGGAGGGTAGTGCCTAGTTTATATTCAGAGATTTTTGGAATTGCTCAGTTAGATGGGAGTTTTAAAAATTATCTAGTTTTCGATTAGGAAAATTCAGACCCAGAGCCCAACATCACAACTGTTCTGCGGGTTGCAGAGCCTTAAGGGGGCCTACAGGGCCTTTATGGGGCCCAGAGAGGCCTGGCAGGCTTCCTGCAGGCACCCCGGCTCTCTCTTAGGGTTTCAGCTCAGTTCTCTTTTCTGCCTGCTTCAGATGCCAAATACCTCACTTTCTCCTTCCAAATGCCACCCTGCTTCCCTGAGCGCTGAATGGGGGTCAGCACTAGGCTGATCCTTGGCCCTGCTGTTGACGTCCCTGGCCGTGGGCTTGTCGCTCGCTCTCTGAGCTGTCATGCCCACTTGCAAATAAAATGGGATAATAAATGTCAAAGTGCTTTGGAAGGTAGATGTGACATAAATGCTCAGGATTCTTATTTGATCAATAACAAAGCTATGTTTTGATTCAGAAACACAAGAGAGCGAGTAACCACAGCTGCCACAGTCTTGACATCGGAGAGTAGAAGTGTCTTGCCTGAGGGTTTCAGCCCCAGGCAGGTTCACTACGGATTCAATGAGATGGAGAAATGACAAAGGACCTCTGGGGGTAAACGTTATACCCGGCAGCACTGGATTCCAGCCGTCTGCAGGTCCGTAGTCCACCTCCGTCTCTGCCTCCACCCAGGGACTGGGCAGAGCTCTTTACACAGTGGCTCAGTCACTGACAGCTCATTGCCTACGGGTGTGGGAGCAGCAGCCCAGCAGCAGGCCAGTTACATCATCAAGTGGTTTAGGGTCAGGTGAGGATCCCGGCGGTAGGAGCTCCCATTTCCCCGCAGAAGGGAGCCAGGAGGGAAGAGAGAGAGAGAGAGAGAAGAGGGCTGCTGACCTGGTTTTCATTTCTGCTCACTGACACTGTCCTGCCACTGCCACATAAAGAAACATGGTGAGTGTGAATGTACACGAGGCACCCGGAAGCCTCCGGTGTGTCTGTGGCTGCTGGGAGGTGGGTGTGGAAAAGGGCAGTGACTTGGGCAAGGGGCACTGACTGGATCGTTTGCTGTCCTCAGCCCCAGCCGGTCCCTATGTTATTGAAGTCTCAGATCCAGGAGTTGGGGCTTATCACAGTGGTGAACAGAGAAGCGGTATGTAACTGTCCAGGCTGACAGAATCAGGGTTCAATAGGACCTCAGGCGGCCAGATAAAACTGAGCAAAGATCAGCGTAAAGTCCTGCACTGAGTTTGAAAGAGCAAATCTGAAAGGAGAAGACATGTCGAAACACCACGGACATTTCAGTAGCTACGCTCAGGGCTGGCTAACTGGGAAATGCCTGGGAACCATCTGCAGCCTCAAACCACGGTCCAGAGCAGCCGGGACTGAGGGAGCTCACGGCCGGCCGCTCAAGGCAGGAGACTCCTGCGGCTCTCACCACCACAGCTGCTCGCTGGCAAACGGAAACACCCTCTGCGGACATGCCCGATCGTCCGTCAGTTACACGGTAGAATGAGCAAGCTGCCAAAGGCCAATGCCCAGGACAGGAAGGGTCTAGAAACTGCGGAGTAACAATGGTTGGAAAAGACCTAGGGAGCTGCACGGCAGCAGGTGAGTGGCCCAGAGGAGGACACCAGCTTCCCTGCGCGGTTCTGCAGGGCATGCCCGCTGGGTGGGGCAGCCGGGAGGGGTTCTGGGGCCCACAGAAGCTCCAGTGGGGTGACCAGGCTGCAGTAGCAGGAGATCCAGGGCTGGTTCCCCAGCGCACGTGGAGAGCACCCAGGGGCTCCCCGGCCTGGCAGGGGCCTAGGCGCCGCTGAGGATCCATGAGGGCCTCCTCTGCACCTTGAGGCCACAGAAGGCTGGCTCATCTCTCTTGGCCAGAGTTGTCAGGCTTAGCCCTGGAAGCCCAAAGCAGGAATGGGGACTAAGACAGGTGATTGGGAGGACAGAGTGACAAAAGTATAAAAAAACAAAGCCACCACCTGAGTGGGGTTCATAGGTATGGGTTGGAGATGATTAGCTGGCGTGGACTGAGAGGAATCGAAGAGGCTCAGGGCCCCACATCAAGGGGGTCCACCCAAGTCCTGAAATCCCTCCCACCAGAACCACCTGTGGTGACACCAGTGTCACCTGCTGTCTGGAGGGGGCAGCATGTAATTTATTGGGTCAGCATGTGGACGTTTGGTAGAGAAGCTGAAGGGACGGGGACAGAGGTAGATAAGGATTCGCCCAGCACAGGGTTAAGCTAATTTTGCCATCTTATAAAACCTCTCAAGCAGGGAGAGCCGGAAGGTAGAGTGCAGGAGGGCGCCCGCCTTCTCCTGCTTTCCGCCCGTCCTTGTCTCTGCTACACCTGGCTTCCCTAATCCCACTAATGGGGGCTCCTTTCCGCATCTTCCGAATTCCAGCCGATTGCGCCCTGCTAACGACTCTTTTCAAATGTCCCTGGATCTGCTCTGCCCGTTCTGCTCCCCATGAGCCTCCCCGAAGTCACGGCGTCAGCCGAGGCCGCATCCTCTCTCGCCCACCTGGGGAAGCCCCAGGCCAACCCCTCGGCCTTAGTCTCTTTTGCCGTAATCGATTCAGACCGTGCAGCCAGATTAATCTTCCCTAAGCACACTTCCAGCCATGTCCCTGCCTCGCTCCTGGGACACTTAGTGGGTCCTAAACATGGGGCGGGTCAAGCCTCGCCCTTCAGCAGGGCAGCCAGGCTGCGCTCTGCTCTTCAGCCTAGTCTCTCACGCTCCCCAACTCAGCCAAACTGAACGCCTACCCTCCTCTTAAACCTCTCCCTTCCTCTCCCTTTCAGGGGGGCCTCTGCCAGGAAGGCTGTCCTTCTGAACCTCCCCACCTTTAAATATTTCCCATGATTCCCAGCGGCCACTCTTCAAAGCCCCCTCCTCCAGGAGGCCTTCCGGAACCCTCTGCGGAAAGCCTTTGCCCCTCTGGTGGAGTTCCTTTAGCCCTCGGCCGGTCCTAGGCACGGGGAGTTTGTTACCTACTGCTGGTCACGTCTCTTCTGCTGACGTGTGACTTGACTCCTAGACAATGTGCTGGTGCCCACGAGTGGTGTGTTCTGTATCTCCCTGCTCAGACTGCAAATTCCAATCTCAAGCACAGGTCCCCCGACAGCGTGGTGGGGATGGCGTCCCCTCCACCCCAGGCCGAGCGCAGTGAGCACCGAGCTCTTGAGAAGGCGCGCTGGCCACGAGCTGTGAGGAAGAGCCGGGCTGTGAAGTTGCCAGACCCGAGTGTTAGGTCCTTGCTGGCGGACGGGCCACGTGACTGTGGCTCCGGCGAGCAAGTTCCCTTCCCTGCAAAGTGAAGCAGACGGATGGCTGGAAGCGTCCCTTCCTGCTCTGGTGTTCCCTGAATCTCCATGACTGGGGACTGACCCTGGCTGGGGAAGAAGCAAGGGAGGCAATGACCCGGCCCTGGGCGGGACGAGGGAGAGGGAGATGGCGCTAATGGCTCTCGAGGAAGGAAGGACATGCGGGGCTAATGGGATAATTGGATGACCCTCAGAGCCAGGGGCTGCCAGGCTGGGGCCAGCTGTTAGAGGCAGCAAACAGCACAAGCAGAACAGGAGCTCTGGCGCAGGGAACAGCTTGTGGAGAGAGGTGGGGGAGGCTGGGGAGTACCCAGAGGGCGATGGAGGAGAGACTGGAGCCCCGCTTCTGTGGGGATGTTGAGGATGAACCTTAGGGACCTTGTGCTGTGACCTTGGAACAAATACTCCATTTAAGGACTTTTGGACCCATTTCTGCATTAGGGAACATTCTTAGAGACCCTGGACTTATTAAAAGTGTTCTGCAAGGTACTTTAGACTCAAGTCTGTTTCTAACTCTATTTGATTTTAGAAAGGCTGGTTCCTTGAGCTCCAGTTTTTTCCAATATAAGGGATGAGATCAAACTGGATACTCTTTAAATTCCCTTCTAATTCTAATGACTCTAATCCTTATAAGAATAGTATATTTACATTTGTATATGAAGCATATACAAACATATACCAACTGTGAGAAAGGAAAATTTGAGGCTAATATTCATGAACATAAGTAAAAGATACTCAGTATTAGCAAACCATATCCAGCAACATATAAAAGTCATATAAATTATCGCACAATATAGAGTTCATCCCAGAAATGCCGGGATGGCTTAACATCGGATAATCAATCAATGCTATTCATATTACTAAAGAACATCACAGGGTTATCTCAATAGATGCAGAAAATGATTCTGATGAAAAAATTAAACATCCATTCATAGTAAAAAAAACTTAAACTAGAAAAATAAAGGGATTAATCCAATAAAGTACATTTTTCCAAACCTACAGCAAACATCATACTGAGTGGCGAAATATTAGATTTCTCCTCCTAGTAAAGACCAAACCCTTATTCTCTTCAACAGTGTCCTAATGGTCCTAGAGATCACAATAAGACATGAAAAAGAAAAGACACAAGACTGGGAAAGGAAATAAAGTGACATTACTTGCAGTTGAATTAACCGTCTATGTAGAAAAAAACCCAAAATTTCTTTGGATTATTAATGGAACTCATGAATGTTCATCAAGGCTGTTGGATATAAGAGCCATAAAAAATTAATAGTGTTCCTATCAACCAGCAAAAACTATTATAAGAAGTAATTTAAAAATGTATCATTCACAAAGGTAACAAGAAGGTACCTAGGAATAAATCTAACCAATATGCACAAAAAAGAAGACTCAAATCAATGAAGAGGTGCGCCATGTCCATGGTGGGAGGAGTCAGTATTGCATCCCCAAATCAATCTGGAGATCAAGGGCGATTCCCTTAGGAATCCCAACAGGGTTTTTCATGAAACATGACAAACTGTATCCAAAAAACCATGTTAAAAGAAGAAAGGGTCAAGAAGAACCACAGTAATTTTCTTCCTTTTGAAGGAAGTGAAAAATTTCCCTAACGGATATGCTGAAATATAAAGCTCAAGTCCTTACAATAGTGCGGTGTGGGACCAGACAGACAAACCAACCCAGCAGGATACAAAGGGTAGAAGCGAACTGTGTATGGGAACAGGTGATACTGTAGAGGCCACACTACAGAACACAGACAAGGGGTGACGTGCTCGTGCCCAGCACATGGTTCCGAGATAATGGAGCTTCTTTATGGGAAAGTTGAAAACAAAGGTGGGGGGAAAAAAACATAAAAAATAAAAAAAAAAAAAAAAAAAAAAAAAATTAAAAATTAAAGAAAAAAAAGAAATTAATAAAAAAAAAAAAAAAAAAAAAAAAAAAAAAAAAAAAAAAAAAAAGAAAAATAAAAATAAAAAAAAAAAAATTAAAAAAAAACAAAAAAAAGAAAAAAAAAAGAAAAACAAAAAAAAGGAAAAAGAAAAAAAAAAACATACAGTCAATAATCAACAAAGGATTAGTGTCTATAATATATATATAACTCCTGTGAAAATAAATAAGCTATTAGATAAATGGGTGAAATTCTGATCAGACAATTTAGAAGAAACCTAAATGATCAGAAAGCATGTAAAAATAAGTTCAACTCCCTTATACATTGTTGGTGGGAGTGTAAACTGGACCAACCACTATGGAAAACAATATGGGGGTTCCTAAAAACTTAAATAGATCTACCGTATGATCTAACAATTCCACATCTGGGTATATACCCAAAGGAAATGAAAACAGGATTGTGACACGATACATGCATGCCCATGTTTATCATAACATTATTCACAATAGCCAGATATGGAAACAACTCAGATGCCCATCAATGGATAAATTAATTTAAAAAGATGTGATAAATGAATAAAAAAAGATATGATATGTTTTCAGCCCCAATGGAATATTATCCAACCACAAGATATCCTGCCATTTAACATGAACAGACCTTGAGCACGTTATGCAAAGCGAGGTAAGTCAGACAGAGAAAAGTATTGTATGGCATTATTTATATGTAGAATCTAAAAATGTTAAACCTGTAGAAAACAGAATAAAATGATGGTTACTAGGAGTTGGGGGGATAAAATTAATAATGGTTAGGGCTACTAACTTGTAACAAGTAGTAAATAAGCCTTAGAAATATATCAATGTTAACATTCTGTATACCTTAAATTCATACATTACATGTTAAATTTACTCAAAAAAGTTTAAAAAATAAAAAGTTCTATCTCAGTAATTAAGGAAAGGCAAATGAGAATATATTTTGCAGCCACTCACAGCCAATTGGCAATGATTTAAAGTGTCAGTAGGGCCCACCCATGTGATTAGAGGGTTGGGGCTCTAACTGTGATCTTCAGGGAAGGGGGACAGGTAGGGACTGAATTTAGCATCCTGGCCAGTGATTCATTCAATCATGTCTATGTAATGAAAGCCCAATAAAAACAGAATTCTGGACACCAAAGCTCGGGGAGCCCCCTTGGTTAACAATACTCGGTGCGCGATGTCACGCACTGATGCGCATCCTCACTCCTGGGGAAATGACACAGAGCCTCGAGTCTGGGGCCCCCCCAGAATCCCTATCATCTGTTCTTTTGGCTGGTCCTAATTTGTAATTCTTTTTGCTAAAATAAAACGGTAATTGTTAAATTTAAAAAAAAAGTATTGGTGGGGATGTGGAGAGACAGAAATACGCAATACGTGGTGTAGCTGAAAGGTGACTACCCGGTGACCCGGCCTTTCCCAAGTCCAGGCCTCACTCTTCGGCCAAGACACGCGTGCATAAAAGGCCCTGCACCCAGACCCTTACTGTGCCGCTGTAATGCTAATATGCTGAAGCAGCCCCGAGGTCGGGAGCTGTGCCTGGCCCCACCTTGGCACGGAGTCCATACTGGGGAAATGCCGGGCCGAGCCGAAGGGACTGCCTCGTGTCTTCCTCCTGAAGCCCAAGTTCTGTGCTGAGCAGGGCCTCCCGCTCACGAGGAAAGCACCCATCGGCTGCCATCCCACGGGCTGCTGGGACAGTTGCCTTTGTCCTGCCTCCCCGGCTCTGTGCGTTTTCCAGCAGGCCTGTAGGGAGGGACAGTACAACCTGGGGGGCGGCCACACAGGGCGGTGCAGGGGGCAACACGGCAGGCTGGGAACGCAGGCCTGCGGCCCGGCTCCCTGCCCTGACTCGCCTGCTGCAGCCCGGAGGTTTCGCAGCCCGCGCTCCCTGTGCGGACAGGCAGGCGGCCAGGGGCCCCGGGGGAGGGCTAGTGCTGAGGAAGGGCTTGAAGGTGAGCAGGCTACGCTACCTCTCTTCTTTCATTTGTAAAATGGAGGAAATATTTCCTATTCTCCTGCTTCACGATGCTGTCAAGGATAAATATGAATGACTGAATGAAGAAGTAAAGACTAAATGTGTAAATGAGTAAGAAGATTGTTGAGACATGCATGTCATGTCCAGAGCCCAGCTCGTCTGCCAGCCTCGCCCACAGGGATTCCTGGGCCACTGTCAGCTTGGACTTCAGTCCAGCTGCCGCCGGCCGCCTCTGGTGGCCCGCCTCTCACCTGGACCAAGGACGTGAGGACATAGGGACATAAGGACTAAACATGGGAGGCCCTGCCCTCCTGAGTGGCCTTTTATGTACCCGGGATTGTTTTCCCTGATAAATAGACCAAAAGGAAGGAATACCAGCAAGGCATTAGCTCTCTCCTTAGCTCCTAAATGGCTGACATGTCAGGCACCCAAATTCTGAATGGGACCGTACGGGATTTCAACTCACTCCGCCTGTCTGCAGGCAGGGTCAGGCTTATGTGAAGACCCGTTACAGACGGTGTACTTCTAGAGGCTGAGGGGAGGCCCTTGTCCAAAAATCTCTTCCAAACTTATTTGCATGCTTGGAAATCCATCATGTGAGCTTTGTTTCTTTGGCACAAGCCAAATGTACTTTTGTTTTCTATACAATCACACAAATCACACATATAAAATCAAATCAGCCCCCTCAGTGTGAATGGAGTGTGTCGGTCCTTTCTGGGGAGCAGGCTGGGATGGAGAGGAGACTAGAGCATTGCTGGCGGTCGCGCCTGGGGCTGGAAGGGGGATGATGAGTAGGTGTGGGAGAGAAGGCGGCGGGGCTGGCGAGGCCCTTCCGCCTGGACAATCAGGTAGGGCCTCCCAAGAACTCAGAAAACATACGTGCAAAAAAAAGGCAGACAAAATAATAGATGGCACTCTATGACTCCGTTTAAATCTAGCAAATGCAAGCTAATCTGTGGTGGCCTGGGCGGGACTGGAGGAGCTGGAAGGAGCCGTGACACAGAGGCAGGGGCGTGTTTTTGGGCTGTGCGTGTGTGTGAGCCGTATCTTGCTTATGATGGTGGTTTCAGGAGTGCATATATGGGCCAAAACATCAAGTCATACACTTTAAACACGTGCAGTTTATTTATTGTGTGTCAGCTACACCTCAATAACACTTTGGAAAAGAGTAAAAGAAAAACAAAGCCTGCGTGAGAACAGTGGGCCTGCCACGCACTCCACCTGCCACGCCGCTGACAAGTCCCGGCAGAAACAAGTGTTTCCGAGGGGACACCTCCCTCTGAGAATCAGTTATTCTCTCTGCAAACCGATAGGGATAAACTGGATGACCCCAAGGTCTTACCTGGATATCACAGTCTAGGTCATGAGGGTCAAATATATTAACGGTAGGAAGCCATTAGGAAAGCTGAAAGTGTTTGGTACGAACACAAGGTAGGAATTATTGAATAACCTGTGTATAAAGACTTACTGGGTAAAAATAATGGATAAAACACGGATGACTAATTTCACTCTAACCAAAACTCCACTGAAAGGATTTTTTTCCAGGGCAAAGTCTGCAATGGGAGCTCTTGGAAAGAAAAAAATGTGACATCAGAAATGAAAAACTTAATGGAAGGATTAGAAGACAGATTGAGGAAATAGAGTAAAATGGAGTAAAAAGACAAAGATAGAAACTGGGAAAGAACATACGAGAAATTCATCACGATAGCTGAACTACGGGAGTTGCGAGACACAACAAAGGATACAAAACAATTCAAAAAAAAAAAAACCACTCCAGAATCAAAGGACATGAGTTTTCAGACTGAAAGGACCACGGAGTGGCCAGCACAACAGCTATGTGGTTGTGAAATTTTCTTAACAGTCAAGACAAAGAAACCCTACAAGGTCACGTGCAGAGATGTCTTTGGCCTCAACAGTGGTCCTGGAAGCTAGAGACAGTGGAGCTCTGCTGTCACAGCTCTGAGGCAGATGACTTCTTACTTAGAGTTCCACACTTCATCAGTCGAGAGCCGGACATTTTCAGGCATGCAAGGTTTCAAAAAATCTCCCTCTTAGGCCTTCTCAGGAAGTTCCAGAAAACATATGTCCTCAAAAAGAGGCCAAAGAAGGCAAGAAAGGAGGAGACATGGGAAGTGGAAACAGGTGATCCAAGCCAGGAGAGAGGTGAGGGGATCCCCAGAGGGTGGCGGAGGGAGGTCCCTGGATGGCGGCAGGGAGGCTCCACGGGGCTTTCCCAAGGACATTTTGAGAGGAGATCTGGGTAACTGGCAGGGTTTAGGTTAATAACAGATAAGGTCTTAGAAACCTAAGAGTATGAACAAACAAGATAAAACAAAAGGATTTATTGGAAAGGAAAGGCAATCTAGTTGACTAGGTGGCTTGGCGTCAGTGGCATTTACATTGTCATGATAACAAGTGCACTACTTATGTGCCAAAAATTACAGGGTCACTGTGTTGGGGACAAGGGGGCTTGGGAAGTAAAATGAGTAGAAAGGGGTGTGTGGAGAAAAGGGAACTGAAGTCTCATCTCATCTCCCACAGTGGGAAGTCAAAGAGGTAATGCCGGGACTGAAAACTCAGGAAGCGGCAACACAAACACGTCATTCATAGGTAGGTAGAAGAGTCGGTTAAACGAGTGGAAATGGTCCCTCTAAGGAAGGGGAAATGGGGCGAAATGGCGGGCAGTGGGCGGAGGGAGCTGAGTGAGCCTGGTAGAACTAGTTGGCTTTTTAAATTACATGGATGTGTAACTTTAATCAATTTTAAAATAATAATAAAAAATGAGTATGGTGAAGGGGTGGGGCAATTAACACGTACTGAGGCCTACAGTGCAAACAGGTGTTGCTGACCTGATGGGTCATGCAAAGCGCGTGTATGAAGGTGCTTCCATGTGGGAAGTAACGGGGGCGCTGACCCCATGCTGCGCTTCCTGCTGCTTCCGTCTGTGACTTAGCCCGAGCCGCAGTGTCTCGCCCTGAGGCAGGAGGCGCACAGAGCGGCGGAGGTCTGGTGAGCCAATGTCCGCAGAATGCCAGGTGAGCGGGCAGGGCCTAGATCTGCAGCCACTGCCTCAGGTGCTCATCTGGAGAAGAGCATGGGTGGGAATGTGGTGAGTGGGCCAGAAAAGCATGCGGTCTGCGAGTGGCAAACAGACTGGCCGCAGCGGCACGACAAGAACAGGAGGTCCTGCTTAAGGGCTGGCTTGCGCTCTGAGCGCCAGACTTGGATTCTTGGACGCCTGTGTCTTAAATTTCAGTAGAAACTAGGGAGTTTCTGCTTGAGGATGTTGAAATGGGGACTCTCTGAGGGTGGTTTCTGAGAGTGAGTCCTGCTGTCAGTGACCACTGCCAGCGGCGGCAGAGCGTGGAGCCAGAAGTTGGGCACAGACGCCCCCTGGACAGGCTGCGGTCTAGTCAGCAGGCTGAGATGGTCCATGTGTCAGGAGAACTCACACTCCGTGACACAATGTGGAGGAAGAACAGCCCAGATGAGGAGTGAAAAGACCCAGCTTCCAAGGTCCCCCTCTGCCACCTCTTGTTCTGTGACCCTGGGTAAGTCACTCACCCTCACGGCTCTAGTCTCTGTAAGAGGACTTGATGGATGCTTCCCAGGGGCCAGTCCCGGCGTGTAAGCAAATAAACTCCCTGAGGGCAGGCCCGGCTGTTCGCTGCGGATTATGTGTTGTATCCTGCAGGACTGCTGCAGTCGCGAGGTGTGCAAGTCGGGGGAGGAGAAGGATCTCTTGCAGGAGCTTCTCTTCTTTTCCTTCCATTCTTTCCTTCCGTTTTTCATTCTTTGGGCTTTTCTCTTCTGTCGTTGTTTTCTGTTGTCGGGACATACCCAAAGGACCAAGCGTGTATTCAAAAACAGATGGAAAAAAGTATTTAGCACAGTGCCTGGCAGGTAGCAGGTATTCAGTAACTATTTGTTGAATGAATGAAATGGAAGATAAAGATAATGAGTGTATTAGACTCTAGAAACGGGAAAATGACCCCAGTCAATGAAATGAATCACAGATGGAGGAACAAAGGTCTACTGAGGAGGAAAGTGTGTGCGTGTGGTTCCCTCGCTCAGCAGGAACGGAGCTGAGACTCAGATCCCAGCACTGCGGGGGCTCAGCAGAGGGTAGGTCGGGACAGACTAGACGGGGAAGGGAAGGAATGTCTGAATGTTTTCAGATTAACAAAATACTGTTCTGAAGGATCTAGTAAAGTTGGGCAGTAGAACAAGTACAGGGGGAAAAGCACACAGTATTTGGTTCGAATCCCACCTCTCTTACCTGCCTGAGTGGGTTTGGGCTAGCTAACTGACCTAGTTTCTTTTTCTAAAAAGCAGGATAATAAAGGCATCTACTTTACAGAATTTTTGTTAGAACAAAAGTAAGTCCGATGTGGTATGTGAAGAAAATATTTTGCAAGCTATAAAATACAGAGGATTGTTCATCTGTTTGGCCAGGACCCCTCCTGGATCATCTCTCACTCACTAGCAAATCAATATGGATTATTATTGAGAGTTTTTTTCAGCCAGTCAGTTGTCACTTTGAAAATCAATGGAAGGACCTCCTAGGGTGGGTAAGTTTTGGTGGAGGAAGGCAGGAGGGGGGAGTGGGCGTCTGGAATCCAGGTGGAGGTGGGCAGGGGCTCATCCTGAGCGGTGAAGCGTGGACCACACCAAGGTAGAGAGTGTGGGGCGGGCCGGCCCAGGAGCCAGAGGCCAGGTTCTGGACCTTGTGACCCCACTGCTGGTTTCCTCATCCCAGAGGAGGGACACACCACCTCTGTTATCTTGGAGGCTGTTGTGATATCACACGAGCTGGTGGATAAGGAGAGTTTTAAAGAATTACCAATTGCCATCTCTGCAAATGGAGATAATCATTCCTTTAGAAGAACATGGGTGAGGGCATGGAAGGCACATGTAAAATGGCCTTGCCCACTGTTACGGATTGACTCGAATCCCCCCAAATTCTTGTGATGAAGCCCTAACCCCCATTCGGACTGTATTTGGAGACAGGCCCTTGAAAGAGGTGATTAAGATTAAAGAGGTTATAAAGGAGGCCCGAATCCAATAGGACTGGCGTCCTTAGGAGGAAGACCCCAGGGATGCGCACTCGCAGCGAGAGGACAGCCATTTACGAGCCAAAGAGAGAAGCCTTGGAGACACCAGACCTTCTGACACTTTGATCTTAGACGTCCAGCCTCCAGGACTGGGAGAGATAAGTTTCATTGTTTAAGTCACCCGTGTGTGGCATTTCGTCACGGAAGCCCTAGCGAACCAGTATGCCCGCCTAACAGTCTGGCCTCCTGTGCTCCTTCCGCAGAACAGATTCCCTTTTATACTGAAGGACACAACAGCTGTGCGTATTGAATCGTGGCACAAAAATGGTTCCCAGAGGCTTTCTGGCCAACCAACAAAGGCAGGAAGGAGGCAGTGCGGCCTGTGGTCAGGACCAGGGGCTAGGAGACTCCCAATCTAGGCGTGGGTGGCGCTCCTGGACTGCTGAGTGAGAGGTAACCAGGCTCGTCTGCCCTCCTTTAGACACCAAGTTTGTCTTCTTTCGCTTGTAAACCAAGATTCTGAGGCTCAACAGAATAAGATGTTCAAAGACCTTTTAGTCCAGTGAAGGCCCGTGATTAAACCTCAACGCTCCTCGGTTACGTGCTGAGTAATTTGAATAATGATGCCTGAGAAACAGGGGATAATGTTTAATCTTGATTGGGAGCTCCAGAAGTGATTATGTGGGCTTTTGGGGGGTTTAAATTGTCAGAATTAAGACAAATCTGGCTACTAGGCATTACTCCTTATATATTTCATAGGTTTATTTATTCAACAAACTTTCTTAATCATCGTCCACATGCCAACATCTATTGGCAAATAAATCATAGAGATATAATAAGAATAAAATAGACATAGTTCTGTGCTTACACAGCTTACAGTTGAATGGGGGAACATAGACAATAACCCTGGACTGGCATTAGAGAACCCAGCTCAGCCTGGGCCCAGCCAACCTCCCCAGCACCCTTCCACTCCTACCCCAGCCTGCTCCAACCATGTCATCCCAGTCAAACCTTTCTAAGCTCTGTGCTTTCACTCTTATCCCCTACTGTATTTTATTTAAATACCATCCATCCAGCAAGATGTGGTAGGTAGTCCCCCAGTGACCTCTGCCTCTTGGTATCCCTACCCTCCTATGTGGGTTGCTGAACTTAGTGACTTGCTTCTAATGAAAAGAATCACTTTTCATTAGATCAGGTTCTAAAAGGACTGGGGCTGCCGTCGCGGTCTCTCTTAAACCTCTCACCCTGGGGGAAGCCAGCACTGTCCTGAAGCAGCCCCACAGAGCAGCCGTGCCATGAAGGGCTGAGGCATGCCCGGGACCCCCTCGGCGAGCTTGGAATCGGTTTCTCCCCCATTCCCACGTTGAGTCTCTAGGCTGGGAGCTTGTCTGCAACTTCGTGTGAGACCTTGAGCCAGAGGCCACCAGATTCTTAACTCACAGAAACTGAGATAATAAATGTTTACTGTTTAAAGCCACTAAGTTTTGAGGTAATTTGTTACACAGCAATAGACAACTAATACATAGAGTGGGGTGATTTGTTACACAGCAGTAGAAAACTAATTCACAAGGCCTGGACCCGGAGGACACAACAGTTGTGCATATTGGTTCACATTGCT